ATCAAGAATTCGAGCATTGTATCGTAGCATGTGTACACATTAGGCACAAATATTCGTAACACTACTTGTTCGTCAGTCTATTACACGAATGCTCGATTAAATTCATCTTTCATCAATCATAAAATCGTTCGTTCCTATCACAAATCATCGGTCTAATCCTTCGTTAATTCCGACACAACGAACGCGAATAATTCTGATATATTTTTTCAAGGAAATCACGCATATTGCTATATTGTAGGCGAAGCACGAGTAACAGGTGTAGAATCATTACCATTTTCGATAAAATTCCCAATTGATATTAATGTATTCCGTAAAGGAAACAAGAGAAAGCTACCTCTCGTGCAAAACGATTACAAATACAAATATATCTAGAATTCAATTTCATCGCCACCATTTCCTAGAAACGTCTTGGATCTCTATTTGTCAATCAGTTCTGTTTGACTCTCTCGAGAAGAGAAGATCAGACTCAATTTCGTAACATTCAAATTCGCGCCAGAAATATTCAGAGGAAATTAGATTCACAATGTGAATGGTCAAGTTAACGAAGATACGTCGACGTGTGTAAGGTTCCCTGTAATTCGATAAAAACTTAATGCTGGAGGTAAGGCACAGACGTCATCTACTTTGTAGAATTTAAGACACGGTTAGGAAACGGTTGCCAGCGGTAAGTTCCAGCTGGATTAAATTAGAGAGAAACCTACCCCGTTGGTCTTCGTAAGACAACGTCGATTATTATATAAGGCGACATTGCGTTATTCAATGAGAGAGAGAATATATAGAAAATGCATCGAAGAAGAATATCGCGTGCTTAATAAAGAGAGACACGCGATTCCCCCGTTGAATTGACAAGTGAACCCAATTGATCTTCCCGAGCTTGCCCGAGTTTCGCCACGATACTAGAAATAATACATGGCCGTAATATAATTTGAAACCCTGAAATTAATACAGAGGCGTCAAACCGATAATGGGCAATTTTGTTATAGAGAGGTTATGTCTGGATTCGATAAAATTTTAATCTTAAATTTACAGTTTAGTTGCTGATAATTGCTGGTAATATTAAATCGATTACTCTGGCAAATGGCATCGCCACGATACTAGGAATAATATAATTTAAAATGCTGAAATTAATAAAGAGGCGTTAAACCGATAATGGACAATTTTGTTACAGAGAGGTTATGTCTGGATTTGAAAAAATTTTAATCTTAAATTTACAGTTTAGTTGCTGGTAATTGCTGGTAATATTAAATCGATTACTCTGGCAAATGGCATCGCCACGATACTAGGAATAATATAATTTAAAATGCTGAAATTAATAAAGAGGCGTTAAACCGATAATGGACAATTTTGTTACAGAGAGGTTATGTCTGGATTTGAAAAAATTTTAATCTTAAATTTACAGTTTAGTTGCTGGTAATTGCTGGTAATATTAAATCGATTACTCTGGCAAATGGCATCGCCACGATACTAGGAATAATATAATTTAAAATGCTGAAATTAATAAAGAGGCGTTAAACCGATAATGGACAATTTTGTTACAGAGAGGTTATGTCTGGATTTGAAAAAATTTTAATGTCAAGTTTACAATGTAATTGCTGATAGCTGCTGGTAATGTTAAATCGATTACTCTGGCAAATGAATCGCCACGGTACTAGGAATAATATAACTTAAAACACTGAAATTAATAAAGAAGCGTCAAATCGATAATAAACAATTTTGTTATAGAGAGGTTATGTCTGGATTTGAAAAAAATTTAATATCAAGTTTACAATGTAATTACTGAATTGCTGGTAATGTTAAATCGATTACTTTGGCAAATGGCATTGCCACAATACTAGGAATAATATAATTCAAAACGCTGAAATTAATACAGAGACGTCAAACCGATAATGGACAATTTTGTTATAGAGGGGTTATGTCTAGATTCGAAAAAATTTTAATCTTGAGTTTACAGTTTAGTCACTGATAATGTTAAATACTCTTGTATCATCACGATACTAGGAATAACACAACTGTAACATAATTTATAACAAAAAATATATAAGTGAACAGAGATTAGTCAAAATCTCAAACATAGTGGACAATTACGTTACAGTAGATTTCTACGTTATATGTAGATTTGGAAGAATTGTAATCTCAAATAAAACGCACAATTTTTACAATTTAATTGCTGATAGTTACCGATAATGTTAACTCGGCCACTCTCGCAAACGTATCTTTATTCTAATTATAGTTGGAAGGTGCACGTAATTTTGCAGCGATACGCGATAAACTTCTTTAATCATCAGCCACAATTAGAAATTCGGAATCCTACTGTGACGACGGACGACACACTATTGCCAAAACTACACTTTCTCACCTCGAGCATCGCGTTCGACGATACTTATCGAAATAATTGCGACTGATTCACTGCAATCGCCTGTAATTAAAAATCGCGAGAATCGACTTTTACTTTGGTCTAAACGAATGGAAACACTTGGGGAAACGAAAAAGGGAAGATTTCACGGACGAGCTTGCAGCGTGTAGACCGAAATACGAAAATTTATTCGATTTATTTATCGTCCAACCTAGAAACACACTTCTTAAACACAATGTACACGTATACGTCGGCACAGTCTATCGAAATAGGACAAACTATGGAAATTAACTGGAAGCATAAAAATGACGCAGTACCTTCTCTAAAGTAGTGCACACGTCATGTGAATAGGAAACTGCAACGGTAATTCAAGTCCTAAAGTAGATCTGTGTTACGTATCTACCACACGAGGCAAAAACTTCTCCAACAACAAACGTAATCGCAACGGTGTAACTAAGTCCGAGTTTCCTGAATTAAAAACGAAACTTACGTCCGTTTTTATTCAGTTCCCTGTTCTCTGCTTCCACGCGAATTGTCAAACCAGTTGACAAACGCGATTTCATCTTTACATTCATTATTGGTGTACGTATGTAAATTCATAAAATAGTGGAAACGATTCGCTAGAAGAGAATTAAGGTAATTCTCGATCGGATAAGTAACAATTCCGCAAAGTTTTTCGTACGACGTAAAGAATTTTTTCTCCACACTTTCTCGATGGATTTGTTGTCTCTCCTAATTACAAAAAAAAAAAAAAAAAAAAAAAAAAAAAAAAAAAAGGAAAAAACAAAGAACTCTCTCTCGGGCTAATATTCCGCTTAAACGCTACGAAGAACACGTTTCAAAGTAAAAAAGTAAAAAAAATTATAAATTATGTTACAGTTGTGTTATTCCTAGTATCGTGGTGATACAAGAGTATTTTAACATTATCAGTGAAACTAAACTGTAAACTGTATGATTAAAATTTTTTCAAATCTAGACATAACTTCTCTATAACAAAATTATCTATTATCTTTATTAATTTCAAAGTAAAAAAAAAGATGAAAATTGGTCTGCGCTACGTTAAAAATGCGACGTTCGACGCATGCTCCGTTGAGGAATTTGACTTTTTCTCCTTTCATAAATTCGATTGAAAATTAGCATTTTTTTTTCTTTTTTTTTCTTTTCCTTCGTTTGGAAGCGAGGCGAGTAATTCAAAGAGAATAGAAACGGCGAAGCTTTGAAAGGGAGAAAGGCTGGAAACACGCCCCACAGGATAAAGCACGCACTGCGTAGAAACTACCCCTCTACTTCAGTCAACGACGTGCTGGTTCCACGAACGAAAACTGGGTCACCAGCTACGATACTCGAGCTAACTCGTGCCGTGAACTCACTTTCTGTACATGGCATTATATGTACGTGTATACCACCGTCTATGTAACACGGGGGTATAGTTGCTCCTGCAGATGTGTTGTAATAATTTTTCTTTCGTTTCTAGAAGAACGTACGGTGTGCACACACAGTTGTGAATCATCGACAGAATCGCCGATACAATCCATCGATCGATGATTGATGAGATAAACGACAATCGAAGGAAACAACAAGCAAATGGAAATGATAATCGTACATCTATTTAACAGCAAAACGTTCCTTTCTGCGTTGTAATATTTAAATCGTAACAAAATATATTATATTCGTTGGGTTTCGCGTATCTCGATGATGCGAAACGAAAGAGAAAAGGGTTTCACAGGTACGAAACTGTTCACGATGGAGGAATAAAAATTATGCTCGATCGTCGATCGTTTTAATTTAAATCAAACGAATTGATCTTGGCGTGGAATGCGAAAAATTTTCAAGAAACCTCACAGGTGCAATATCCTTTTGTCTCTCGATAAGCAATTTCAATTTCTTCCAATAACTGTACGGTTTTGCTAAACTCGAGTAAGAGTCAGGATTTGACCCACTAACGCGTTCGCGCTTGTAACTAGATCCCTTTTCACTTTCTTCGTAAAAGCACAGTCATAGCAAAGAGTAAACCTCTAGCGATAGGAAGCAACGTCGTGACACGTACTGAATTTGTATATTAATTTTTTGTTCGTACTACATTCCATCTCGTGCAAACGACCGAAACAATGCTTCAATTTTTCCTATCGATCTATGGTATCTCTCTCTCTCTCTCTCTCTCTCTCTCTCTCTCTCTCTCTCTCTGAAGGCTGACAACAATCGCGTACAGTTCACTGAAAGTTTAGATACCAACGTAATTCCGCAAGAGCACAGAAATACGTTCGTGAACGTGATTTATATCGATGACAACATCAAATAAACATAAGCGTGAAGTAATGGAACAAGTCATAGTGTACACGTTTATTAATATTTCTCACGCACATGTACAGCCTCGATCGTTCGAGGCTTAAGGAACGCGATGAAAATTCAGACGAAATAATAATTTCGAATAATTTGCGAACGAATGCGAAAGCTGGTAAAGTAGTTGAAGCAGTATGGCAGAAATTAGAAAATAATTGTACCTCTCGATAATATCTGTCGTTCGGTCTCTTTCGCTCTCGTTTCAATGCCTCTCAAACTGAGATGACGAAAGATACGAGATGGTAAAGCATACGCGGCACATTGATGCTCGGAGAGAGAAGAATTAGCAAAAGGTAAAACGACTCACCAAAATACGTCCAGTGGTGGTCTGTCCAGAAATCAGTTCACCGGCCCAGTCTTTGGCCTCGGTCATAAAAGTCCCCTCGAACTCCTTGCCCTGGCGGCTCGTCTTTTGCTCTTTCTGTTTCGGGTCATTTGGGGCGAACTCGGGTTCCTTGCGACAGCAGAGGAAGGCGAACGCACGCCAGAGGAGTACGATCAGCAGCCCGGCAAGGAAAGTGAAGATGCTCGACAGCAGGAAGCACCACCATTTCCGTTCCTTCAGGCAGTCGTCTACCGGGGGCTGCTCGGTCGTCTCTTCGGTCGTCATTACGGTGGATCTCTGCTGCCCCCGGATCACACATTCACCGGCAGCTGTCACAAGCGGCGGCCAACAGGGCGCTCCTTATGCGCTTCATAATTTCCTGCACTCTGCACGCCTCGCGCTTCGTTGCAGCTTTCAACCACGAACTAGCTTCGCGCAGTTTGCGCCCACTCACCACTACTACTACCGATACCACCACCACCACCACCACCTCCACCACTACCGATAATACCACCACCACCACCACCACCACCACCACCGAACAACCAACCAACCTCCCTTTCTATTTCCTCTATTTTTCTTATCTATTATCTTCCCCCTTGATCTTTTCCTTTTTTCTTTTTCTTTTTCTTTTTCTATATATCGTCTTGCCTTATACTACCAACACCACGTTTCTGTTCCCCTCTTCCTTCGCCTGTTCTTCTTCCTTCCCTCTTCCCTCCTTCCTCCTTCTTCCTCTTCCTCCTCCTCCTCTTCTTCCTTCTTCTCTTTCTCTTTTTCTTGTTTATGCACGCACGCCGCACGCACGCACGACACACGATGCACGCACGACGCACGATGCACGCACGATGCACGCACGCACCGATCACCACCCACCACCCGCCCACCCCCGTAACACACTTATTCTCTCGGGGAGATTATTTTCACCGGTTAGCTGAATCCAGCCAAAGTCCGACTCAATTGCCGCTTCTACTGTCACTGGCTGCTACCCGTCCCCTGGTTTCTACTTGGCCGCTTCTACTGCCACTCGCTCTCTCTCTCTCTCTCTCTCTCTCTCTCTCTCTCTCTCTCTCTCTCTCTCTCTTGCTTCCCTCCCTCTCCTACCGCCGCGCTGCCGCGCTCTCCGGCCAGGTAGCTTCCCCTACACGTAATCTTCTCCTTGTCCTCTTGCCAACCCAAGTCCCTTTTCTTTCCCTCCTTATCTCGTTCGTCACACTCGTTTCTCCCGCCCCCCTCCCCCCCGCCCCCCCGACCGACCCAACGTCTATCTTTTTTTCCTCTTCCTCTTTCTATTCTTCGTTTTCACTTCGCGACACCCTCTTCTTTCTTCACTCTCGCTGCTCGCTCTCCTCCGCTCTCGCTCGTGATCTCGTCCGTTTAATCGCTGTATCCCCCCGTTTCGTTTCGTTTCGTTTCGTTTCGCTCGTCCCTGTTCTAGCTTCCCCTGTCGCGAGAGATGGCTCGACCGATCGCACCCCGCTGGCTTTTCTACATTCGAGTCGACTCTTCTCGTCTTGCGCCTCTTCTCGACGCTTTCTCGGACCAATGAAAGCTTTCGAGTGTTGTCTACTCTTCCCGATCGACTAGCCCCCCCCGATTGCTACTCGGTCCTTTCGCTCGTCGAGATTCTCTTGGCGTACATGTTCTCTCGTCTCTCTCTCGCTCTCTCTCTCTCTCTCTCTCTCTCTTTCTCTCCCTCCCTTTCTCTCCCTCTCTCGCTCTCGCTCTAGCTCACGCTCTCTCTCTCTCTCTCTCTCTCTCTCTCTCTTCCTCTCTTCCTGTGTCTGTCGATCGTTCCCTTCTCGACCGTAGGATCCGCGAGACAATTTTCCAGAACTATCCAGCGCGTTTATCGCGACCGGGGATCAGTGGAAATCGGTCTTGACACGCTCGGCGGCAGCTGATGCCGCCGCCGCCGCCGCTGATGCTGCAGGTAGTTCCAATCTCGAAAGGGGGAGAAACAGAAAACAGGAAAACAACCCACTGACACCACTACGATGATATATACATACGCGTGCGTCCACGTATATACACATACGTACGTGCGTGTGGCTCGATGTTCAACTGTACGTCGACGCGTGTGTATTTTGTACTAAAATTTACCTATACGCGTACACATGTATATTATTAATTACATGTGTGCGTATATTTGCATGTTTGATTTGTATCGTGTACGTGATATGTGTGTACGTGTACCTGTGTAAGTGTTTATGTATGTTCAAAGAGTGTGTATATGGACGCGCGCACGCGCGCGCGCGCGTGTCGTATCTACGTGTATACAGACTTATACACCTAAATAATTTTTAATTTGTGTCGTGTATAATTATGCGCGCGCGCGCGCGCGCGCGTGTATATATATACTTACAAGTATTTGCCCGTGTCACGGATATATGGGTAAGTGTGTCTGGTTTGTTGGTGTACGTGTAATAATATGTATATATGAAGAAATACGTATATAATATGTATATATACTTGTATTTTACGTGTAAATATTATATAGTAAACCCAGATCCATGGATCGTACGCGACGAAACGCGCTTTCGATCACAACGACACGGAAAACCGATCTATCTGTACGCGTGTCCCGCTTTCTTAACCTACTCGACTGTACCACCGACGACGACGACGACGACGACGGCGATGAGGACGACCGAGTGTCCCAACGACCATACCACCGCTCCGCAGCAATCAATACGCAACAATGGACCGGGACCAATAAGCTCAGAGCTTTTCCTGACGTAGACGCACGCTCCGTTGCTACAGTCTATCCCCCCACCGTGTCCCCTGTTCTACTAACCGAGCTTATCGCCAGAGGACGCCGCCGAACATCGCTGCGCCAAAACAGATCTAACCCCTGTCGTAGCAACTGTTCGTAGCTCGCTACAACGATAAATTATGCAGTCGGTTTGTACCGTTACTGCGTACTTCTTTTCGTACTTTTATGTTGTTCCTGACGTTTTGATCTCTCGCGCTCCAGCCTCCTGCATTTTACATTCGAATTTTAGATTTGGAGTATCCGCAACCGTGTCACCGTGGAAATTTTATTAAACGCGTTATTGCGTTTCCTCGCGCGACACAACTTTTGTCGAGTATCGAGGAAACCTGTCGCATTTTCTGTCGATGAAACTTCGCGATAATTGCAACAGCCAAGAGATTGATTTTTGTTGACATTTACTGTAATTTGTCGCAATCTTGTTATTCCGTTTCTCCTGTTTCTTTCAGAGTGTTTTACAATGGAGTTTATGAACTTGTTTTTATTTAGTTATTAATATTCGTAATTGCAATGACTGAAAACAAAACGAGATGTATTACCAAACAATTGTGATAGAAAGAATACTAATGAATATGTAACAGTATTAAATATTACAAAATGTCTAAATCAAACGTTTACTTACTATAAGTCAAATTATTATATATAATTTGCTCAAGAATTAATTTTTAAATGAAATTTATGAGAAATATTCTCAGGATGCAATTTAAACAAATAATTTTAGAACATAGTGTATACAAGTACTGATTTTACATTATATTAATAAAAGTATATTCAAAAAAGCAATTTAATGTTTTTTATTCAGCTTTTATTAATCTTTCCTCTTTCTTATTTCCTATAATATATATTATTTATTAATATAATATTAATAACAATAAATTATAAACTTTATAGCGTCAGCTTACAGCAAGCTGCTCATTTTGCTTACCTTACATGAAATTTTAATTTTGCACAAATATATGTGTGCATATTTTAATAAAGATAAAATATAAATAATAAAAATAAATTCATCATTTTATATGGTTTATCATTCGTATTTAAATCCCCCTTGTATACAAGGTAGCATGATAATCTCCATAGTATCCAACCGATGGTTGTGAACAATTGACTTGTAGGTTATGTACTCAGCTTCAATTTTCGTTAACTAAACAAAAAGCAAATTAAAGGAAGTATGTGCGATTGTGTATACTCTGTACATATACTGTTGCACATTGATATATTGCAATCTATAAGATAAAATAAAATAGACGTAATTTAAAGATAATAGATACACATAAAATCAAACATGTCAGAAGAAAAGGCCGAAAGGTATTATTAGACTCTCATATTCATACATGTATAATATATAAACAAGGAGATTATAATGTCAGAAATAAGTTTTCTATATGCTTGATTCAATTTAAAAATACTTGCTCCAAATCCACATAACAAAAGAAATATTTTTGAGGTTATAAACTGTTATATTTTATGTAAATGTACTTTAAGTTACATACAAATGTATTTTTTATAGTCCAATCGATAAAGTAGATGGAACACAAATTGAATCTATTGACGATAAGATAAAAACAAAGCACGATGATAAAAGTAAACAAAAACATAAACCAGAAGAAAACACTGAGAAACCTAATGGCCGAACAAATAATAATGAAGCTGGAAATTGTTATTGGTAGTTGATTTAAATTTTATACTAGAATAGGTAATAAGAAATCAAGCATGTATCAATGATTTACTCTTTCAGTGGAAAGGAAAGAAATCTTAATATTATAGAACTATTATGTGCTAGCTGTTCAAGATGGTATCATGAATCTTGCATTGGTTATCAACTGGGTAAATTAGTACCTTTTATGATGAATTATATATTTATGTGCAAGAATTGTTCTCCAACTGGTTTAGAAAGTTTCAAAAAGAATCAAGCACGTAAGAATAGATTTGAATAGTAACTATAATGTATAATGAAGAATTGAAATTTTAACCAAGGACTTAAAGGAACTTGACTTTTCTAGCATTTCCACAAATGTGTGTGACAGCAATAGCAAATTTACTACAAATGTCTCAAAAAGAAAATGAACAAAGAACGTTTTTTCATAAAGATAAAGATATAATTCCTTTTATTGAATGTCATTGGGATAGTATGACTACAATGCCACGCAGAGTAACCCAATCTTGGCATGCAACAGTAAGTCAAAACTACAATTAAATAATTTATTTAATTAAATATAATTATAATTATAAAAATAAGTGACATTTTTCAAATTGAGAATAATTACATATTACATAATTATTCTTAATTACATGTTCTTAAAAATTATTTTATATTCAGAAACAAAAATGACTAATATTTTAACATATTTAACATATAACAGATACACAGAGCACTATTGAAAGATGTTGGAACATTATTCACTATTGATGAAAATAGTTCAGATGGACAGTTATTTGGACTTATATGTTCTGACCTTCAAATGATTAAACCAAATTATGAAGCAATGATTAAAGGTGGTCATTTAAAAGTAACTGAAATGGGTGTTCAGCATGTTGGTAAGTTTAGTTATGAATCATGCATTATGTACTGAAGCAGAAAATATAGCTCTATCAACAAATTCAACATTATAGTTACTTATAGTTCTTATTTTTTTTAGATCACTGCATATTCCTAGTGATGTATTCATATCTGTTTTTATCTACAAATGCTTAATAGTTAGTTTTTTCTGTTTTGTTTTAGTTACTTCTTATCTTATCAAGATATCAATCAGTATCATGTTATCATACAACAATCTGCTTAATCGTAGAATGTCTATGACTTAAATAGGTTACGTTATTTAATAAATTCTACGTTGTAATTCGTGTTCTCAATATATAGTAAAAGGCTGTTGTAGTTTAGACTGATGGTTTAGACTGATAGTTTGTAAAGTTGTACATTTCAAATCTTATTTTACGTTATGCCTCTATGCAATTTTATATTTTCTATCATGATATATCAATTAATTAAATAATATTACGTAATTAATAAACATAAATATGGCATATACAGTACCACTTAGTGGTGGTTTTCGTGGACGCAATGCGAAACGTAAGTTTCCGGGAGAAGGGGCAGGTACAGGACCTGGCAAAAAGGGTAGAGGTTCTGATATGACAGCTCCTAAATTACCTGCTCATGGATATCCTCTTGAACATCCTTTCAATAAAGATGGCTATCGATATATTCTTGCTGAACCTGATCCTCATGCACCTTTCAGACAGGTTTGTAATCATAATGTATTGTGATTTATCATTTTATAATTCTGCTTTATTGTGAAATTCATCAACATTATTTAACAGGAATTTGATGAAAGCAGTGATTGGGCTGGAAAACCTATTCCTGGCTGGCTATATAGAGCATTAAGTCCAAGTACTGTTTTACTTGCTTTACATGATCGAGCACCACAGCTTAAAGTTTCAGAAGACAGACTAGCAGTAACTGGAGAAAAAGGCTATTGCATGGTCAGAGCAACTCATAGTATGTCAAAATCATAATTTATCATATCAGTTCTTTCATTGCATCAAAATAAGTATAAATTAAATCATTAAGAAATAAAATGTTTTTCTGTATATATATTTTATATATTATTTACATTGCTTACTCTTTAGATGTATGTAGAGGTACATGGTACTGGGAAGCAACTATTGAAGAAATGCCAGAAGGATCAGCTACAAGACTAGGATGGGGTCAGGAATATGCCAATTTACAAGCTCCACTTGGTTATGATAAATTTGGATATTCTTGGAGATCCAGGTACGATTCAATAAAACAACTTCAATATAGAACAATATTTGTCATGAATTTCTAATTACAATTATTAACAGAAAGGGTACACGCTTCCATGAAAGTAGAGGTAAACATTATAGTAATAGTTATGGAGAAGGAGATACATTAGGATTCTTAATAATTTTACCTGATGCACACGATGCTTCACATTTACCAAACACTTATAAAGATCGGGTAAGGATTAAATGTATGTTCGTTTATTATATTTTCATGTGTATTTCATAAATCAATTGTTTATAAATTAGCCCCTAGTAAAATTCAAAAGTCATCTATATTACGAGGAAAAAGATCAAGTACCTGAAGCGCTTAAGGCCCTGAAACCACTACAAGGAAGTAGAATTATATTTTACAAAAACGGAGTAAATCAAGGTGAAGCATTCATTGATATTAATAAAGGAGCTTATTATCCCACAGTTTCTATCCATAAAAGTGCTACAATTTCTGTTAATTTTGGACCTAATTTTAAATGTCCTCCTACTGATATTATATTTAGAGGGGTATGTATAGTGTAATAAAAATTAGAGATTATGTTACTTAATACAACCTTTCATGATTTATATTTGAATTTATATTTTGTAGATGCATGACAGAGCAGAAGAAACAATAGCAGAACAATCCATGGCTGATATTCTCTATTTCACTGAAAATGAGGGAAAATTAAGACTAGATACTTTTGCTTTATGACATTAATGTATCTTTTTATTTTTTTTTTTAATTACCTTTAGTTCTGATTGAGTGTTATCAGTAATTACATTAATATGAATTTTAAAGTTTATAATTATTTTATTTTAATTTCCTTAATTGTATACAACTATCATGTAAAATGAAATTAGAATTTTAAAAAATTCATCTAATGCGAGATACGTGTGCGCCGTTTGGAATTTGCACATTTGAAAATTGATATTGATTTGAATTTTTGAGATTTACTTTCCAAAACCTCCTCTACACGGTGGACTTGGAGTTATGGTATTTTCATTTTTCCATTGATCAGGTGTTTTTGCCTTTATAAATAAATGGCAAACGTTTATATTTAAATTTCTACTAAACTTTTTACATATCAAAATATTTTTATAATACTTACTACAATTGATAATGCATGCACATTACATTTTAATTCGTCGTTCAATAATTTATTTATCATTCGATGGCGCTAAATCAATAAAAGATTTAACTTTTCAAATATATATAGTGATAAGCAGTACATTTCTATAGTTCGTTCAATGAGTCAAGGCTGTTAATGTATGGCTGCAATGCCATTTAACTCAAATGTGAGTGTTGTTATAATTCTTAGATAACAAGGACACTAAGGACACCTACTTATGAACTGATTCTGATATAAACAAATGATAAATGACGATAAGCAATAGGCCTTTCTCATGTGCTTTGTCACATGGACGTTTTGTTTAGATCTGATGCCTCAATTTGAATGAACTATAGCTTTTTTTTAAATATACTTTATACAAATAAATTTATTAGGATCTACCTACTAAAACCTCTTATTTTTATTTTATTTAAAGTTTTTAAATTTCTTACCTCAATTAGTGATATGTCTTTGAACTTATCAGAAACAACAATTACTTTAAAATGTGTTTCAGATCCTTTCGGAACATTATGCATATATGACTCATTTATAATTTCAATATAAGATGGATTTAAAGAATCTGTCAATTTTTCCTTTATTGAAAATTCTACTGGATTATCTGTTTCTTTGTTGAAAATTTTACTGGACATTTTTCTAACTAAAATTGATGTGTTCCTATAATCTATAACCAAATACAATTGTATATGTATTTCAGAGTATTTCTACATTATATATAGTAAATTATTTTTTAATCAATAATCAAAATATTGTATTTGTAATTGCAAATGAATTTCGTAACACCATTCAAGAATATATGTATCTAACAAAATACAGAGATATAACCTCTACTTGTATAAATCAATATATTACGAGCAAAAAGAAAAATATATTGACGTTATTATGCTGTAAAACATGTCACTCACTTTTTTCCAATATTACCGCTATATTATACATTTATTAAGTTATATTTCTTTGAACAGAGAAATTATTGAAACCTTTTTAGTTACGATCACATGATGAGTAAATCTTTTAATCAGACATCCATATGTACGTACATACATATATGATGCTTGAAAAATACACATGTACATGGAATGTTTTGCAAATATTACGTTCTACTCATTACTCTACGAGTATATTGTTCTCAGATATAATTTTTTTAAAACTTTCTTGAGCTGCACGTTCTTTCCAAAACTTTATTTTTCGTACCAATTACCATGATCGTTCTCTATCCATTTTGTATTGTTGAATAAAATTTTTCTACTCTGAATTTTCTTTTTAAATCTGCGTCCTAGTCTACCTGTTATGTTTTTGTTTCGTTTTTTGATTTAGTTACACATTTGAAAGAAAAGTATCATATATTACTATTTATTATCTGTGAAGAGAATAAAACTATCAAATTCATAATGAACTTAACTCTTATTTTTTGATTTCGGGACAAAGGAGAAAAGCAGTAAACAGTAAGGTTATTAAAGTAAACAAATGTTTAAATAACAATTGAAATATTTTAAGTGATGTAATTACGTATACACGTAATATATCCTTTTGAATACTTCTTTATTTGATAATGTTGTATTCAGACAAATTCACGAGGAAAGATCCAAGCTGCGGCAAAAAATTTACAATACAAGTTTTGAACAATAGTTATCAAGTGACTAGGTGACGGAAGCAGTTCCATCAGTATTTCATCGTTTATAATAGTCGTAGGCACATTATTGATCCTTAAACTATTCGCATCGCCTTCAAACATTATGCCATCACATTCATGATAAACAAACAATGCAATAATATTATTTACATTCTAAAAAGTTACGATAAAGGAATTAAAAGATCGAGCCATAAAGGAACGTTGATGCAATTTTATTCGTTACCATCTACTGAAAAGTAACGTATTTTTTTTTTTTTTTCTTTATTTTATATACATTTATATATTTTTTTTTTGTTTTGTTTTGTTTTGTTTGTTCGTTTTACTTCGAATTATAAATTATCGATCGCATAAAACTGCAGGTGCAAAAAATACGTTCAACAAAAAATCAAATAGCTTCATTAAAATACAAAACGTGGTACATTATACAATTCCTTTGTTTAGTTGATCAATGACCACGATTAATCAATTCAAAGACAAAGTATTGCTTGATACAACAATACAATTAAAATACCATATTAGTACGTAGTATGAGCTCAATATGAGCTGTTGAATAATATTAAGAATCTTAAATTGGCCTATGTTACAAGTATACAACGAAATGCCAAGTAATTTTCCATTTTGAAAGCTCACTGAATGAATTTGATTCGACGTAATCTTTTCCGTTTACTAGCATTCTTTCGTTCTCCGTTCTTTCCCTGTATAAATTGCACAAGAGTAAGGATTCCCAAATTACATGTACAAAGAAAACCTCGGGATCATTTACTTTAACGGTCGGCCATTATAAGAATTAAAAGTAATTTCATACTTTTACTGCTTTATACATCTATTTACATGTACAACAGAGCTGCCAAACAGGGTGTAAGAAGAAAAAAGATTTTGGCAATTCTGAGGGTTATAAAATTTCAGGTTTTGTTGCATTATTCGTGAAAAAAACGTATTCAAGAAAAGCTACGAGGTAACTCGTGTTGTCGTACTCTTTACGTTTCAGTCTCATAGAATTCTTGACGCCATTGTCCTGTGTGTCAAAGCCTAGTGACTTTTAATCTTTCGCATAGTCGAATAATTAGATACGCGAGACAGCTGTTTCGAACTTTTTCTTCGCTTCGATCCACAGCATCTTATTATTAAAATATCCAACGATAAAACAGCACAAAATCTATGGTGATAAAATTTTTCTTCTCCCTCTATATATCTCCGTAAATATTGCTATATTATTTCATGCAATTACGATCCAGCTGATCGCTTTTTCAATGTATCGTGTTTTTCACAAGAATACGTAACATCAGAAAAGGATAGATCGTCCGGAAAGGCATCTTTAGGCACTTTTTTTGATATGTATGCACATTTCGCGAGAACTATAAACTTTCTTTTGTTTTCCACAGTTTCTTTTGAAATTTCCTACTAAATGTATTCGCTTATATAAATAAATACATTTTTTCTTGATCATTTTTTTCTTTTTTCTTTTTTTTTTCTTTTTTTTTTTTAATAAACTATCCCATTGCGCGTTCGTTACCTTTTGCATTCGTCACTCATATCGTCTCTATCTTTCTCGGTATAACTATTATCTTACATAGAGGAAAGCATCGATTACTAAGGAAAGTTTGTAAAAATACAGACAACGGCGCGTTAACGTTGATCGTCAATAGACATAAATTGTTTTTAGTTGTTCCTTTAGCTCAGGAGGAATGGCACAAGTCTCCGACTCCGGCTTCCTTTTTACCAAGCGACGCCAGCGCCCCCCAATATTCTTGCGGAAGCCCTTTGCAAATCCAGACCTATCCGACGGCAGTGCGTGTACAAGAGTATCCTAAAATGAAACACAATAACACATACAGTTAAGTATCCTTTCAATTTCACCATTTTATCATAAATTGACTAACGCACACTAACCAGCAGGCCATTTTAACACTTTGAAAATTTATTATATGGAACATTTTCTTCGAGACAATTTGAAACGATATCTTTTTTAGCAAGAAGAGCTTTGATGATGAACTATCAAGAGTAGTTTGTGCTTTGGAAAAAAATTGTTCATCATCATAAAAGTTATGTAATCAAGAGAACACAGCTTTGTTTAACAATACAATAGAACTAGGGAGTTTTGATGTGTTGGACATTCAAAGCTTTTTTATTGAATGTCATCTAATGACAGATTGAATTTGGCGTGTAATATGTATTTCTTCCTATCACTCCCAATTTCATAATGTAATGTATTACACTTCGTAATTGTAACATTCACATTTGTATTATCATGTTATATTGAATAATATGCCTGGAATGACTTACAAGACATAACGATTTAAAGATACAAGCAATAATTTAAGAATCATTTGCTTGTTCTGTAAATGCGTTTGATTATTTCAACTTGCAGAAAAAAAAGAAGAAAAAGAAAAAATAATCACACTGAAACTCCACGGTTTTTTTTTCAATTCCGCCAGTTTATTTTGCGTCTCGTATTGTTGGATTCGACGGTTTCAATCTTCAACAAACCTCTCGCCGACAGTCGAAATTTATCGCCTTCGACTTTTAGATGTCGCGCCGCTTATAAAATATGCAATAGCGGTGTCGTAGCTGAAGTACACGAGCAACAGAGTAAGGCCACACGAGACTTACAACTTACGATATACATAATACGCAGCAATATTAGAGTGATCTATGAAGCATGGAAATAGTCGAGAACGCATCGACCAGACTGAAAAAGCAGGATACGTCGTGTATCCGGGTGTGATGTTACGAAACCGAGCGAGCTGGGTCCAGGGCTAGAAGCATAAATGAGACAGAGACAGAGACAGAGACAGAGAGAGAGAGAGAGAGAGAGAGAGACAGAGAGAGAGAGAGAGAGAGAGAGAGAGACTACACGTACACGTACACGTGTATTATCCACAAGTAAATTTTAATCAATTTACAAAAATATGCAAATTAATCTGTCGATCAAAATAGTTCTTTTCTTTGGATTTCTCAGGCTCAAGACGATACAAGAAGAATCAAATTACCGTGATTCGTTAATTGAAAAATATTTCATCAAAATATTCGGATACCTTTGAAACGCGTGTGCGAAGAGGAAGCGAACGAGAAAATTGTTGGGATCAAGAGATAAAGTAAGATGACCAGATATAGATGGCGCGAGCAGAGGAAACTACGGATCCGCTCCGTGCCTCGATCGACATTTAGAAAACCGACTCGGAAGACAAAAAAGGTCGGGAATGAAAATATCGATATACCGGTGCGCCTCGCCGCCGCAGAATCGCGCAGGAATATTGCCAATATCGTCAAGGAGAGACGCATTATTTTGCCGTCTATGAGACAGCTGCACCCTATGCTCGGAGTCCTGTTGCTGCCTGGCAAAACGGTCGTGGCCGCCCACCTACGCTAAATTTAGAGCCAGCCAGAGGGGCAAAAGCGGGTTTTTAGGCGCGCCTATGCGTTCAAAACACCAAACATAGTGGCTTTCGCGGTTTGCTGCCAGATGGGAAAAACTCCTCAACGTCGCGACACTACCGTCCACATAGTTGACCACAATGAGCGCCAATAACGATAACCGTTGTATTACACGTATACGTATAATGATCATTCACGATCACAATTTCTATTTCCATGCTTTATAGATCACTCTAATCATATTGCTGCGTATTATGTATATCGTAAGTCTCGTGTGGCCTTACTTCAGCTACGACACGGCTATATTGCATATTTTATAAGCTGCGCGATATCTAAATCAAATAAACATATTTTTAAAGAGATATCAATAAAATTGTCTTGATATATAAAATTAAGGATAATAATTGATGGAAGCGAGATGTTTGTCGCGACAAGGGAACTTTTACAATAGGTTGGCAAGGTTAGGAAGAAAATATGATTGATGCGACGGAGCCAGTTCATTCGAGAAAAATTGTAAAATAATGTATATGAAAGTTGGACGATAAGTGCGGTATTAGTAATGGATGACATTAGCAGTTGCCTTATTACTCAACGAGTTCAAATATTGAAGTGCCTTTTCTCGTGTGAGCTACGATTGGCATATACATATATGCAAATTACACGAACAAAGATCGTTAAGTATCGCCGTTATAAAACTAACGAACACAACGAGGATTCACACACGGAATAAAGTTCAGCTACTGTCGTCAACGTTACTGTGCCTCTACTACATTATTTTAAATATACCGACAACCGAGGTCGACACCGATGTGTTTCCGAAAAAGATCCGTATCGAGACACGTGACAATGGTCAAAGCGTGCTTCACACAATTCTAATTGCACGAGCATGATACTTTAAAAAAGCTCAATCTTATCTTACTTCCGCAAAGGACAGGTTTGTCCAAGTATCTTATATCACGAGCACAGAAACTTGTGTCATTTTTTTTATTGCCCGGGCGATTAGATTAAATCTATGATGAAGCTAATTTAAAATTTCCAATTCAGGGAAAACGTATGTAGAGAAACGTGACACGAAAGAAACATATAACTTTTAAAATGTATTCTCTGCAATAAACGCAATATTCATTTTCATACTCGTTACACAGTGCTAATGAAACTATATTCACAAGAGAATTTTCACTACGGCAAGTATGTTCAAATATACTTTCGCGAGCCGCTATATACCACGCGTGTCGTATATATCTGAAGTCTAGTTATTCGATCCCACGATTGAAATTCGAACGAAACTCGGTGGTAAATATAGAAACGGTTACGGCTATTCTTGAACGAGATACGTAATGACGTTATAGTATAATGGAAACGGTTAAGAAAAAGAAAAAAAAGAAAAGAAAAAAAAAACCTAGGAAAGATATATAGGAAAGCAGCAGAGATTTACCGGTAAGTGGAGCATGAAACTGAAACATTACGTGTCATAACGGCAACAAAGCATGGTAGAAGCGGCAACGTAGCCGATTGTGTTTGGGATTTTTCTGGCGGCGAGCCTCGGACCGAGCCTCGACCTTACAACTCGTTTGCCAGGCCGTCTACTCGTATGCCTCGTCCTTGGACAATCGATAGCGCCATCAACTATTATTAATAACTACAATTTTCAAAGGTCTTACCAAGTATATCCTGGAGTACGACCAGATATATCTCTCGCCAGTTACAATATATTATGTATAGCCGTATGTATTACGTATTGCACGAGCTTTCATAATTTCATGAATGTAAATTTCAGTAAATCGCGAGACGTATCGTGAAATTATTAATATAGAATACGGCTATAGTATCATATGTATATACATATGTATGTATATTTAATGTACGTACGTGTAATCGTTGTCTTGTTTATAACATAGTCGTATACATGTATACGTAGATATAGTCAACAAATGAATATGTACGTGACGTTCCCCTTCAAATATTAGTTATCGAATTACGTTAATATTTGACGATTTAAAGTTTGTTATAAAATACTAACTAGTCGATTCAAAGATTTAATTGACCACTTCCGAATTCCCCGTTCTCCGAATTGAATAATTATACGAATTGATTTTCCACCGGAGGAAATAATGTAAATTTTAATACTACCGTATCACAAGGAAACGAAAGAATAGTAATATGTATATATACATACGTAAGATCGATCAGTTCTAGAATACACGAAGTATAGACATGGCAACTACAATATAGCTACCGTACTATCAAGCGTCCATCGTTCAAGCCATTTTTTATTATACTTTTCGGAATTAATACATCTTAACCCATAATTACGTTACTCGATAACATCCTCGACCTATCCCTCGTTTAATCTTATCCACTAAAACGTGGAACAAGTTTTCGCGCGGCACGGCAAAGCTAATTCGATAAAAAGAAAAGAAAAAAAAAAAAAAAGAAAGGACCATTAACTCAAGTAACGTACGAGTGATCCTGGCAGGCAGAGTACGTGTAAACCAGTAAAATCTGGTAATACTGGCTCTACTGGTTAGCCGTAGCCAACGTAAGTATAAAGAGAAGAATATAGACGAAGTCAGAAGGGAGAAGAGCTTTTTAACACTAGAACTACCAAAGTGATCGAAATGACTAATTTATAATTTTCCATGGAAATCTCACAAATATTTACAGCAGTGAGTATTTCATACTCGAGCGGCTTTCAATATAAAATATATTGATAGAAGCTTGTATCCTCTATATTGAATTATTAACTTTCTCTCGTATCTGGCGCTTGAAATTTCTTTGCTATGAATATTATACTTTTTCGTCGGTAGTACTACTGTCAATTTCCTTCCCTCGCGATTGCAAGCTCCGAGGATTGAAAACGATGGGAGCAGAATGAAAAGAAGAAGAAAGTAAGAAAACGAAGAATTCTGTACTAACCTGGTCGTTGTACAACGCATACTGCGCCGGTGTGTGAGGCGGTGGATAAGGAGGCGGAAACTGCCAGACGATTTGATCTGTCGGATTGGCCGTAGCATAGACGTTATCCTGTTCAACAGCTGTGCTGCTTCCCAGATCTGTCGATGTGGTGGTGACCGACGTCTGCGTGCAACAACCTTCGCCAGGATAAGACGGTGCGACGATCGTCGAGACCGGCGACGTTGCCGTTTGAACTACGGCCGCTTCCGGATGCACCGCGTTCGAGTGATCCTCTCGTTTCCTCAGCTTGCTGCGGACAAGCCGAATCGCGATCATAGTCCCGTTGCTCCCAACCATTTTCGTTTGTTGCCTTAGCTTCAGGTACAGCCGCGAGAGCTTCGCCTTGATAGATTTCGATTTTTTCGACTCAATTTTCAAGCTGTTTATGCGGCCGCGGTTCTCGAATGACGTATCGAGAACGCTTGTGCCGGCTTCCGAAAGGGAGATACCAAACCAAAAAATGTATAAAATCGAACGGAGATCGCGTTTGTACGCTAAAATAAATACAATGAATTTTTTGTTTTCTTTGCGGCAAATTGCCTCTTATCAGTCTATTTTTCTCTCTCTTTCTCTTGTAGTACTCTATCTGGGTTTTTTCCTTCTGTCGCTTTCTCTCTCTCGCTCTCGCTTTCTCTCTCTCTCTCGCTCTATCTGTCACTCTCCTCTTCAAATTCTACACCGGTAGAGTTTCGCAAGTCAGTTACAAATAAAGAGTATCACACCAAAACGAGATCTTGACTTAGGAAGTCTCCTCTTCAATCTCTGATCAAAGAGCAGCCAACAGTACGGTTTATTATTACGTTCGACGGTTTGCGCAATCTGTTCCACAGCCCACCGTTTAACTCGTATTATCGACGAAACACTTTTGTACAATTCAGCTGTTCGTTCTCGTACGCTCACTCAATAAAAACGGCAACGCGCGTTCGATGACTAGTTTGTGTGAAAGAATTTGCTTAATGCTCGAACCGCGATGCTAGGAATCAAATGGCGACTTGTGGTACGAGTGTAGTAACTTTAGCTTCTGCCTTTTTTTTTTTACTTCTTTAAACCGAAGAGAAAACCACCACCCGGCTTCTCTCACAGCCGAAGGGCACGCGAGCTGCCAGAACTCTCCGAAAATTACCTCGTTTCGCTCATTTCAAAGCCAACCGAGATCTGACCGGAACGATGGCGCGCAACGTTATTATATACCGTGCCGTGACGTCATACGCACACCGTGACGCGATTGGCGGATTCGACGAGCATCAGCCAATCGAATCACTTACTACGTGAAATTCGAACGGTACACGCTGCTGGCTCACTCGGTTCACTCGAGAGTGTTTCGTCGTTCTGGCGTCATTCCGGCAAAATCGTTGGAAAGGCCAGACGCGCACACCGTCGTGTTTTAAACATAACCGTGGAACAAGGGGAATAACGTAATCGAAATGTGATTCCGACCATCCTCTTTTTATTTATAATTATCTCTCGGTGTCAAACGAAACATTCGTATCAAACACTTTCGAAGCTTTGCTGTGTTTTTTAATACTTGCGTCGAAACAAATGGGTATAAATAATTATTCATTTTTTAATTATTAATTGTTAATCATTTTAGTAGTATTAATTACTCTTTATTGAGTCATATACGTTGTCAATAAAATATATTTACTTTTATTTATATTTATATATTTATATAATATTATATTTATATTTATATTTATATATTTATACAATATTATATTTATATTTATATTTATTTCGTTTCAATGTTTACTGTGCAAATGATGTACAAAATAATATTTGCATGTTCTCGATGTATATTACGATTGCTTTTGTTTTGCTTGATACAATATGTTAACGACAAATCTGTCCGATCAAACTTCTATTTCTTGGACAATGTTTTTGCTTTCACGCTTGATACGAAATAAATTATAAAAGTTAAATACACATTTTTTTTTAATACAGTTCGTTGTTTGATATATGTAGTTCGTTCTTTGTTTAAAACCGTGATCTTTCGTTTAATAATTCAAACTAGTCTTGGAAACACATGGTCAAACAATACGTCATAGAAAAAACACAGTACAACGGCCAGTGTCCTTCTCGAAATCGTATAATAAATCTTGTTTTGTTTTGGTTTTCTGCAACGTAAATAATTCATAAATAATTCGAATGAATCATCGTAATGAAAAATATCGAAATTTTAATCTTTGTTACATGTAAAGTGATTCAGTGCCTGCGATAATGAACTGTCGATCATTTCACTGTTACTCTATCTCATTTTCTATCGATCGCAATCTAAAATGACGTAAAGTTAACAGGAACGATAATTATAAGAATCATTATGAACATAAACATCACGTGCATTCTGTACGCGTCAGTTGATATCGTTAAACAAAAGTCTGTGTATCTAATTATTGCTAATCTGATATATTAATAAATCAATACAATGGATTATAATCGATAAATAATCGATCGTGTGTTATATTCCGGACACTGCTTGTTATAATTAAAAATCAATCCTAAAAACAGAAGAAAAAAATGACAATACCGAATATACATTGGCAATCGATTGCAAATATACATTGAACTCATGTCAATTGATTTCTCTTTGTAATGGAAATTGCAATGAAAAGAGCTTTAAATTGTTGGCAATAATTTTAAGTTTAACACGAGAGTATGCTGTTCTCCGAATGAAATTACCATTCACGTTTTAAAACTGAGAAGGCTAGAAAATGCAAAGAAAACGATCAACTTGTTAACTGGATAGTTCCTTCATCCAAAATTAGCTTCGACTCTCGCAAATGCGCGAAAAGGCAGGAAATCTCAAAGTAAAGAAATCGTTATCGAGTACGACAAGTTGATTCATTTTCACCTGTTGAAAGAATAATAGTCGTTCGTACAAATGGCTGTTCGTTTCGAGAATTGTTCCAAAGAAAAGCCATCGTGTGGTATTTTTACTGTTAGGGTGAAACACCAGTCACATTTTCTACGCCGTTGTTTTTATCTCTTTGATCCTTTTGACAAATATACCAAGAAAGTGGCAAGGTGGTTTTAGCGCAGTCAACGCGAATGATCCGTTTATACGTTTTAAGCCACTAAATTGACCAGTTTGACTAATGATGAAATTTAAGCCGACACTGCTTAAAGGTAGACGCTTGTCTAGACAGAGCAGGGGGTAGTTTGATGGGTGTATTCGCGTGCTCTATTTAATTAGTATCTATTCTCGTCTCCTGGGCGTGTACATGGATTGCGACTGTGTTACAAAACTAGCCGAATCGATAATAAATGTACTTGCATTTACCTAATCCGGTTCATTGCCACTGTCGCGTATCAAAAAATTTTTGAAAGTCAGGGTAAACGGGCAATCAGATAAACACATTGCAATTGTCGGAAAGGAAATGCAATAATCGCGCATCTATAAATGTTCAATTTCTTTCTCTCTTTTTTTTTTTTTTCTTTTTACGTCGCCTCGCTATCGCTTGTAGCCGTAATACAATTTTCCTGGCGTCATGATAAAAACTTGAGTCATCGTATCATTCAATATCGCTCTTTTAACGAACAAGATCAGCGATCGCATATCTTTAGAGTGCCTCGTAATTGGAAATTCACGTGCTGTTCATCTTCAAATCATTAGATAAGTGCAAGGAACACGCGCGTTCCTGTACACGAGTAATACGTGCGAACCTTTTTCTTCTGTAGATAATAAAATTGCAATTATCTTGATTAAAAATATTCGATTCTGAAGTATGGATGAAAAAAGGTGCATTAATCGGAGTTATCAATTAATTAATTCCATGTTTCTTTTTTTTTTCTGACAGAAGGTTCTGTCTCGCTCTACACTATTTCCACTGAGAGTGATCGATTCAATTTCACTTCAGTTTCATTTCTATTCATAAATAAAAGTGCGCTTTTACTAGTCTGTGATTTCCTATAATAGGATAAATTTCAAACTGAACGAAATAACACGAAAGGAAATTTACTCGTTCGAGTAAAGACAGTTAAGTAAAGACGTTAAACGAAAAATTTAATCTCTCGTGCCACGGAATGCCACCCAACTAATTCTATTAGTACATCTACGAATTCTACTGAATTGCAACTAACGAATGCAAATTTCAAACGTGCGTACTTTAACGTGAATTAACGGATATACGTGACGTTGCTTCACAGAAGGCCTAATAGCCGTGGGAAAACAGTAAAATGAGTCAATCGGTCAAAAACAAATCCCACTGTCCACGTGTCACGAAAATTACAAAACATATTTATTTCGTCTTTTATTTGTTGATAAGTAGTACTGCGCAGGTATTGCCGCTGCGACTTGACATTGGTTCATAATTGTGTCGTGAGTTGTTCGTGACATTTATAAATGCATGCACGTGTGACGATAGGCACCTACTAAATACTAAATAGTACTAAAGACCTACTAGATACTAAATAATACTAAATAATACCTACTAGATACTAAATAATACTAAATAATACCTACTAAATACTAAATAATACTAGATACTAAATAATACTAAATAATACTTACTAAATGCTAAATAATACTAGATACTAAATAATACCTACTAAATACTAAATAATACTAGATACTAAATAATACTAAATAATACCTACTAAATACTAAATAATACTAAATAATACTAGATACTAAATAATACCTACTAAATACTAAATACGAAATTTATTTACAAGAATTTTAGTTCGTCACACGCGAATAATATTTCAGATTCTGCTTTGTGAAATGTCACAAGTTGAAAATGAAGATACACTGCACGAAATAAAAAATTACTAGCGACGAATTAACGATTAGAAACATCAAAGAAACAAATGTCAATTTTGCAAAAACAAAAAAAAAAAAAACAGCGAGACAATTTTAATTTAATTTACTCAAATTCCCTGTATTCTGAAATACGCTAATGGCCACTTCTCCACGTGTTCACGTTTATCTAACAAGAAATCAGCTTTAGTACATTTTCGAGACGTATTGTTTGCAAGGAGAATAATTCCCGATAAAAATTGCATTTGCTTAATTACGAGATTATATTGGAAACAGAAACAATTTATGCCACCTAACAATAAGACAGTCATGCTTCTTTGCACAAGCTACGCATGTCATTGCCAGATAAAGAAGAAAGGCAATAAAAGTTATTGCCTCGCCGCAGAGTCGGAGAAGTATGGAGAAAATTTTCAACGAAAGCGTATCGCAACGAAGTTCCTGGGTACGGTATGCTTCGCGAGCGGAAACTAGCGAAAATACCGGGGAGGGAAAAAATATTTTTATCGATTGCACGCAGTCTCGATGCACGGGGAAACCTTTCCGTCTAATCTCGATCGCAATGCTGGTAGACAGGAAAACTTACAATTGGATAAATCCAAGATAAAATCCTTTATTGGGATTTAAAGCGAAATTCTCTCGCGAGATTATCAGATTTCCGCGTCTCATCTCCACGCGTGTGTTTGCACGTGAATTTCGAATTTTTTTTTTTTTCGAATTAACGCGTTGAAGCATATACACTGAGCTTCTGTCACACCTTTATTTTATTTGAATAGTAAGAATAGTTAATGACACATTGACTGATGCTTCTCGTTTCGATCGTTCGCGAAAAAGACGATAGATCCGCTGTAAACTCACTTTATCCAGAACTACTAATAGAAAACATGAAACAGTTGTCATTAAATTTTTATTAAATATTACACATTTCGATCCAAATGACCGACGAATTACACGCCAGCTAGGTTAAATCGCGAATGATTGAAAATTACTGCTCAAGTGAGATTTTCGAGTAAAAGCCCGTGATTCACACTGCGATGATTAAAGTGCAAACCAATCGCTTATTACAGTAAACTTCTTGAAAGAAACGAACGACATTTCATCCGACAATTTTATGGAAATCGAAGTTTAACAAGCAGTTCGAAGACCAAAGTCGAAAAACAAGCAACGCATTATAATGTAACATCATACATATTGAATTTATTAAAAGCTTTTTCTGATTCGAATCTCTATACCGGGCGTATAAAATAAAAACTTCCGCGTTAAAGAAGGTTATCACATCCGAATCGAGATTTATACTTCATAGTTCAGCGTGGAAAACATTTATATATACATATTTCATTTTTAAGACGAATCATCATCCATGCGCGATTATACATTCATTTCCTCGATCGTTAACGAGTTTAACGAGTTTTCATTATTCTTGCTTAATTACGTACGTAGATTCTGATACACATACGAGCTAATGGCGTTTCTTGATAATCTCACGTGGATACTACGACGTAACATTGCGCGCATGTTTGCATTTAATAACGAGCTAAGTAAGTTACATTGTTACTCGCAGAGTGGACAGAGAGAAGGAAAGAGAAAGAGAGAGATGACCCTAATTGGATAGAGTTTTAGTAGATGAACGCACGCCATTCGTTGATGCATGTTCAATGAAAACGCGAATTACCGCTTGAAAAGACTGTTGAACCCTATCCAATCATGTGTATTTTCTATTTTTGAACATTCTGCGTTCTTCTTCTGTACATACTTTTATAATTCCTTTCAGATCGTGCGTTTTTCAAAGAAGCTCTCGAAGCTGTCAACGTTACAATACCGTACGTTACTATAGTCCATTTTTCTTTCCTTTTTTTTTTTTTTTTTTTTTTTTTTTTTTNTTTTTTAATCAAATGATAATGAAAATTCATGGACGTATCGCTGTCCTCGTGTTGTCTTCTAAAATGCATATTATACGTCCTCTAAAAAAAAAAAAAAAAATGTCAGTATATATTTTATTACCTGATCGTCACAGCAAGGAGAACGATGATGACCCCGACTAATACCAAAGCGATCAATACGCCAATTATCATGTACACGCTGTCGACAGGGGGATCTGCATAAATGAAAAAAAATAATAATAATTAAATTTCATTGTTAATAACGCCTGAGATAACTACATGTCTATATCGTACGCACACAACGACACAACGATATTTAAAGAGTATCGCTATCAACTAGCTGATGCATTTTATCTTCAATTATCGTTCAAAATGGAAAAAAACAAACTGCTTTCCGTATTAACTGTTCAACTTTTCATTTCATCCTCGGTATTTTATTTTATACAATTTATTTATTTATTTTTTTTTCTTTTTCTTTTGGTTGGTTTCACGCAAGAAGGATCGCTCTCGAAATAAAAATATATTTCTATGACGTCATTATTAGAGTTCATCGGTGTGACCTGCGGTGTTCATTCATCCCTTCACGATGCCTTCAAAAGCAACTCTCCCTCCCTTTGTGTTATAAATCACAATAATCAATACACGCATTATAACGTTAGTGTATCGCATATGACGTCATACGTTGTGTGTTGAACAATGACGTCATTTATTCATAAATATCAACGAATCGATAGGGAAGTTCGTAATCGTAATTCAGCGTCTCTCGAAAACCTATTATCCGTTTAACTTGCTCTTAGCACTCACGATATCTCTGAACAGAGAATTATCTCGCAGCTAACAATTAAGATGGAGAATCAACTTGCGCTTAACAATTGAGAAGCCGTAAATCATATTTCCTAGTTGGAAAAAGTTTTACTGCTTCATAAATAAAGTTTTTCCAGTTCGAGGTGGCTTTATTGCTTCGTTGGTAAAGTTTTTTTTTTTCTAATCCGAAGAAATTATTATTTACGAAGCGACAGATAACAGGCGATATTTTCGTATTTTTTTTTTTTTTTTTTAACAACACATGAAACACCGTCTGTGTAACCACAGTTAGGATTCCACGAGGCAGGCCTTAGTAACTCAACTACGAGCTGCTGCTCTATACCGGCTTCCCGATGAATGTTACAGGTAATTTTCCTTTCTTCAGTAGCATGGAGGGAGTGCACGCAGCTTGAGAAAACCTTATCCTCGCTGATCCCCTTGAAAGTCACTGAACAAGTTGAACCTTTCGAACAACAGCTGCATAGTTTATTTGGCCCGGGGCTACCAGACAATCCGTATTCTTCATTGAAGACAATAATCGACAGATTTGACCATTTTGATTAATTGTTCTCTTATTAGTGGGATTGTTTTTTAGATTGGTGACTAACAATGATGATCTGTACAGGATGATTTATTTTATCGGTACAGAGTGAGATTGAGCATCTCAAAAAGAGAAAAAAACTGGAACGAAAGTTAAAGAAAGTTGTTCAATTTGAAGAGGATTGCAACAAGAAAGTAACAGTTTTTTTTTTTTTTAGTAATTAGAGGAGCTTCGAAGATTTCCAGATCATCTCCTTTCTTTTCAGTAGTAGATATTTTTAGTTTGATTATATGAAACTAAGGCGAGAAAAATATGAACGCAATACGCATTCCTGTTTTTCATACGACAGATTTTATATCTTTTGAGCTAATAGTTGTCCGACATATATACGTGAGTATATATCAAGCCGCACATTATCAGTTGTAAAATTTAAAAAAAGTGGAGGTGATCTTGAAATGTCTGAAATCCCTTTAGCTACAAAAAAAAAATTATTACTGAGAATTAAAATTATTTATTATAATTGTTATTATTATTATTTATTATTAAAATTAAAATTATTACAACAGAGATGTTCAAGTGTTAATTCACAGTGGACCACCCTTAAACCTAATTCACCTGTGACCTTTCGTGAAGTTCGTCTTATTAAAGTGGCATTAGGTAATAAAATTTCATGTATCCCATTTCATTCGATCATTTGGATGCTCATAAACTGCTTGAAACTGAAACTGTTTGAACTGCAATGGCATCACAGACGAATAGTTTTGCAAATACTGTCACAATTCACAGTCCTTTGATTTAAAAGGAGTTTCGCTACATTCAGCGTGCCACTATTTGCACTATCAGTTTGCATGCGTGGCATTACTGTCATCCATACATCCAAGGCAAACACTACGTTTGTGTATTCATGATTGTACCGTGAAACTACAATATCTTCTGATGATTCAATCCACTAGCCGAGGAAAATGTAACTAAGCAAAGCGTGTCATTGCTCATAAACAGTAAAATTAAGAGAAGCAACAAAGAAGATAGGCTTTGCAATTGATTGCAACATATATATGTATATATAATAAATATAATAATAATATATATATATTAAAATATTTTTTTGTAATTGTTATAACAACTTATGGAACCTATTAATAGCTTTACATTAAAACTCGTTTGTTTCACAAGAATAAAACGTTTTTTTCTAGATTTTTTTTTCTCTACGGTATCTTTGATGCATTCTTCGGACAATCTAAACAAACGTAGTATAAAATTGCCTTCAAAATGTCTGCATCGTGCCTTAATGTCAACGGATTTATCGATCGACGCAACCCAGCTGCAGGAGAAAAACGATTAACCTTCTCCGATGAGGAAGAACTTTTTTTTTTTTATAGCACGAAGCAGCGTCCTGCTATATAATTCTTTTAATACGAGCTTTTAATACTTTCTCGTCAAGAAAAATGTAAATGCTAGGTAAAATTCCAATTTTAGAAATTCATCCAACATCGCGAACTTGCTCTTTATAAAAAGAAAAACTTATTCAACTTGCCCTTTCTGCTGTGGTAGAGTAATTACTGAAAATATTTATGCTGTTAATAATAATAATAATCAACGAATGCATTCAACAATGCGGTCTTTAAGCCTTTGCAGGCAAGATACCACAGTAATTCTGTAATAGCTAAATATACATACGCGTTTAATGGCGTTACATCGACTTGTGTTGAAAGGACAAATATCCTCAGGCAGACAATGAGCTATAAAGAAGATTTTGTAACAAAGAAGAATTAATCAATCCAGACAGTGAGAAATTGACGGTGGATCAATGTGGAAAACTGACCGACATTCGATGCAACGTACGCGTGTCACACGTTTCAAAATCAATTCTAAATAATTTCCTTATATCTTTCGAACAGCCATTCAATGCCATCCATCTTTTTCTATCTTCTCTCTACTTTCCGTAGATACTTAAAAGTAAGGATTATGATAGTAAGGATTATGATATCACTTTCCCTCGTAATTAAATCGTTCGCGACAAAAGTCAGATCACCGGGGGCTTTAGTTATTTTCATTTAACAAGAAACGCAGCTTTGTCCTATTAATATCCATGATATATTGAACTGTTCGCAAAAATGTCGCAGCCTTTGTTTGGCTTATTAACTATCATTCTGCATTTAACGGGTTTAAAAGGATTTATACGAGCGGATCTATCTTTACCGTCGTTCTAAATCTTCGTTTAAGCGCGGACAAACATCGCTCATAATTAATCGCACGTAGTAATTAAGCACGATCCCCGGTAATTGATGAGAAACATACGAAATTGATAGAAAAATTATATTATTATTATTTTTCTACTTATAGAGAAAATTATGTTATTATTTTTCTATTTATAGAAAAAATTATATTATTATCTTTCTATTTATAGAAAAAATTATATACTTATTAACTATTGGTAGACACCAGAGGTGCACTATGCAAAGTTTACTATTTAAAATTTATCGTCGAGAAACGTAGAAGATCTTTCGATTAAAGTTTCGAAATGTTCGATCGAAATAGACGCGAATATACATATATTTCGTTCAAGTAAAATCGTAAAATTTTATATATAGATGAATGCTTTTTATTTCGAAACTAGTTGTTCGTTTTGCCACGAACTTTCCAACGTCAATATCAAACAGCAACGTGTCTTTTCACCCGCGGTGGAAGGGAAATTCTATTTTTGCGACTTTTAACCTCTTGCCACGCACGTCGCGAATCTTTTGTTCCAAAATTGTAATATTCTCTCAGTTTTATGTATATTTAAGTAAAGCAAAATAGGCAAAACAAATGATAAATTTATTACGTCTCAACAATTTCTATCAAGAAGAAGTTCAAAGAGAAAGCGACGAATATTGTATACGGTTTGGTCACTCGTTATGGTCCGCAATCAGTTACCACAGCAAATAATTAAGACCTATAAATAATGTCGTTTTTTTGACACTGGAGAAAATTTTACTTCGTTTGAAAGTTAATACAGTCTGTAATCTGTAATATAGTTGAACAATAAACACACTAAATGTCAATGTATTTAATTAGAATAGTATATTAGGCATAGCATAGGTTATTTTATAATATATTATATATTATAGCGTAACATGTTATAATAAGTAAAATTATATATTTATAGCAAAACAAAATAGGCAAAACAAATAATAAATTTATTACTTCTCAATAATTTCTATCATGAAAAAATTCAAAGAGAAAGCGACGAATTATTGTATACGGTTTGGTCACTCGTTATGGTCCGCAATCAGTTACCACAGCAAGTGATTAAGGATACTCATAAATAATGTCGTTTTCTGACACTGTAGAAAAAAATTTTACTTTGTTTGAAAGTTAATACAGCTTTAATCTGTAATATAATTTAACAATAAACACACTAAATGTCAATGTATTTAACTAGAATATAGGTTATATTAGGCATAACATAGGTTATATTATAATATATTATATATTATAGCATAACATGTTAATAATAAGTAAAATTATATATTTATAGCAAAACAAAATAGGCAAAACAAATGATAAATTTATTACTTCTCAACAATTTCTATCAAGAAGAATTTCAAAGCGAAAGCGACGAATTATTGTATACGGTTTGGTCGCTCGTTATGGTCCGCAATCAGTTTGCCAGTGCAAATGATTAAACGCGTAAAGTTGAGCCGTTCAAAAGAAATGGTTCAACGTGTACTTGCATTCTTTTTTTTGACCGCGATTTCATTAGTCAGACGTCTGCAGCTACTAATTTCCATTTGGAAATTTGGTTTCTTTCTTATTTATAACCGCGTAATTACAGTGACCGGTTTCTTTTCATTGAAACGACGCCTGCCACTTTATCTCGGATTAAGCGGTTAACAGATAGAAAACTTATAAATAACTTTATTTGCATTTCTATCCCTGTGGTTATTATAAGGCATATAACGCAAAGTCGTCTGCAATAATTCCTAAGTAGTTCGTAAAAATAGAGAAGATTATTGCTCTGTTTTGCAACCTGTTCATCTTCATTTTCGTTCTATGATATCCGTGTAGCCATAAAATAATTGAAGTTTGTCATCTAACTAGAATGAAAAGTATGAAAGCATCTGGAGAAATTCGATCAATAATCTCCATAGTTGTTTTAATGATTTAAAAAAGTAATAAATGTATGGACAGTCAAAATATATAGAGCATCGATCAATCATCGATTAGTTAACAACAGGATCATTTATTTTGATGTAACTACTCTACGACGAATGTTCAATGACGAGCAAGATATGTATTTCTTATCAATAATTGGCTACTACGTAAAAGCAGCTAATTTAGATCGAAAGATATTATAATTTCCATTGTTCTTTATCTTTGAATTACCGGGAGCAGATGGCTCTTTGTGTTTAACAGATCATTCGACGTAAACAACGTTGTTTCAACCATCATGCCCGCGAACAGTTTAGAACCATTCAAAGCGCGAAGGAACCTTCTGACGCAAATGTATAATTCTTTCGCGTCATAACGACGCCTATCGGCCAAGATTCAAAGTATACACACGTTAGAAACTACAATGAGACTTACTCCGCAGCTTACTCCTTCGACAAAAACTAGCACGAAAGAAATAGGAAAGCTATTATATCTTCACCCTAACAGCGGCAGTTATATTTAGACGCTTTGAAGTTCACTATGGAAAAGTTATTTACAAAATGTTAATAAGTATTTTTTTGATCAAAATGATACACAATATCGCCTCGCGATAATTCGTATTTTTATTCGCCGCACTAAAGTAAAAAATTGGACCACGATAGTGGAAGTAACACAGTTAATGTAAGCTTAATCAACCGCCAGGCGTAATCATGTTTGTGAAATTTCATTTGACCTTCCCTTTATAAGTATAATTGCGAAACATCTGCAATTGGTCCCGATCTTCGTTAATTAATTTGACGCCTGTTAAAAAAACAACTGTTCGACGCCGAAATTCATCGGAACAAAGATTAACTGAATCGAAACGATAAGAAAATTATTATTACTCATGGCCAGCAAGTGTACATAAGGGAATTGAAAAACCTAATGGCTATTTCACGCCGGAATTCATCTAGCATTTTGCTCAAATTGAAATATATTGTAATACACACGAATACAGTCATGATTTACTTTGAGTCACGATTTAGCTGGCGTTGAAATTACTTCGAAAGTACAGGCCTTCGAGATCAGTCAGTTTTTTTTTTTTTTTTTTTTCATGAAACTTAATTTTTATTATTCAAATTGCTCTTTGAAATTACGGCCGGGAAAATACTTTGCGCGTAAGAGAGTGACTCAAGATAGGAAAATCCTACTCTATTGTCCACTTCGTCGCCTCGAGTTGGTCAAAGAGTTTTCGAAACTCTTGACCAATGAAACAAACACAAGACTTCCCTGTTCTCTAAGACGAAAGGAAATTCTATTCGTGCCGTACTCAGAAAATGAAGGTCGGGCGTAGAAGACGTTGAAGGAGACGTAAGTCACCGGGGATCACTTGACGCAATTTCACACATGTCTTATCCTCGTGTAATCAGACTCTGTTTAATCTTAGCCAGAGATCAGACAAAGATCGCGTGTTTACATTAAAAAGAAGTTAGAGTCACGTATCATTGAACAGATTGGAAATATTGGGAATCCTAGGCGATTCGTCTCGCATTAAACGGCGTTTAACACTAGAACTACCGAGGTGGTCAAAATGACTAATTCATAATTCTTTTGGATATTATAGATACATTACAGATGCAAACTAATGTATTTTTAGAGGCTTAAATGATTTTTTATAAAATATATGAATAAAAGTTTGTGCATTCTATTATTATTTTTTAGATATTATATATACATTACAGATGCAAAATAGTGATTTTTTAGAAGTTTAAATGATTTTTTATAAAATACACGAATAAAAGTTTGTGCATTCTATTATTTTTTTTTTAGATATTATAGATACATTATAGATGCAAACTAATGTATTTTTAGAGGCTTAAATGATTTTTTATAAAATACACGAATAAAAGTTTGTGCATTCTATTATTTTTTTTTTTTAGATATTATAGATACATTATAGATGCAAAATAGTGTATTTTTAGAGCTTTAAATGATTTTTTTATAAAATACACGAATAAAAATTTGTGCATTCTATTATTTTTTTTTTTAGATATTATATCTATATTACAGATGCAAACTAGTGTATTTTTAAAGGTTTAAATGATTTTTTATAAAATACATGAATAAAAGTTTGTGCATTCTATTATTTTTTTTTTAGATGTTATATATACATTACAGATGCAAAATAGTGTATTTTTAGAGGTTTAAATGATTTTTTATAAAATACATAAATAAAAGTTTGTGCAATCTATTATTTTTTTTCAGATGTTATAATATATACATTACAGATGCAAACTAGTGTATTTTTAAAGGTTTAAATGATTTTTTATAAAATACACGAATAAAAGTTTGTGTATTCTATTATATTTCAATTTGTTTCACTTTAATATCTCTGATGAAAATTCTATGCTTTAATCCTTGGTAGTTTTAGTGTTAACAACTTTGAGGAGGAAATTCTTGCTACGTCGCACTGAAATACGTAAGTATATGTGTACGTAAATTTTTGCGTGCTGTTGTTTATAAAACTCGAGACGTCAAAATTCAAGTTACAAATGAAAGTTGTCAGTGACTGGCCAAGATTCAGTTTCACGGGCTCCATTTTGAAAATATGCAAGAATCCGAGCGAAACGTCGTAGAAAAAAATGGTTTCGTTAACTTTCTTCTGATATTATATTAGTCCGAGGCAGCAACGAGCCACAAATCTCAAAGGTTCCCCCATTTTCAATTTGTGATTCAAATTTTCGTGAGATCAAATTTCGCGAGATTTTCCGTCTTATTGACGTCAAACGTCACGTAAATATCACGTGCTAGAATCGTGGTATCTCGATGGTATACCACGGAAAGTTTCTTCAATTAGAGACCGATTGATCGACTTCATGGAGAGTTACCGCCTTAAGCTATTTTCAGACGTCGTGCCGCTTAGTTTAGCGATTAAGCGAAAATAAATAGAATTGCGGTTATCGAATTTGAGACACAGAGATCATTGATCCAGCGGATGTATTCGCTCTATCGAATACATCGACACAAACATGGCGTGAAATTAATTTTGCAACTCTGGATGATCGTTCCATGGATAATGGAACACTACCGACAGAGCGACAGGCATTCAAACATTTTATCGTGGAAAACTTTTACAGATATGTTGCACTCCCCAATGCAGAAATGTAATTAAACGTCTTAATTTATCAAACAATCCTAAGATTCCAAGAAAAACGCACCCTCTAGATTTCTTATGAACTTGGACAGGTTTCTTCTTCAGTTTATATAAATAGAGTTCTTTCATTGAAAAATAGATAATGTGAAACACCATGAGTCACGTTACAAAGAACTTAGCAGAGCTCTTGTTATTTTAGTCGTTGCGACACGAGTTTGTTTTCCCTTTTTATTTTTTTTTTCTTTGTTAACCTGTTAACCGAAGGGAACAAAGTTAATTTTTCACTTGGATTCTTAAAGTCCCTCTAATGTCCAACGTTAGTGTAAGGGAACGCGTATAGCTTAGGAAAGGTTACGTTCAATGATGCGCCATGCAGACGCTGATAATAATATCGCTTAAAAATCGATTTACATTAGATGTATACGTGTAATACGCGTGAACGCGGAAATGATCGATACCTTATTATTATAACGACATCGTTCCTTATCACGTTTCGTAGCCTCGCTCGTACGACTTTGAAAAATTGCAAAGATACACACGTATCTAATTCTTAACGAAAGGGATTGCACGTGATCGACAACGTTGTCACGGCAAATTTAACAAGAAGATAGATGTTAACGTGCTCTGTCAATCGTGAATCATTCATTCACGGATCATGAATCACAGACGAGCCAATAATTTTGCAAACTAATGAATCGAACAAAATGACACGCCACAAGGTGCGAAGTCGACTTTTACTTAGATTCGTAGTGGATTTTCGAGGTTATTTCAATCGCTCGAGAAGGTCGGAAGGATTATTAAGTCGAAAAGGATTTCTAAATGTAGATTTTCCATGGATTTTCGATGCATATAAAATTTTCTCTCAGAGACAAGACATCCATTAATAAAAGGACACTCACCAAGATGCGACAACAATTGCAAGGACTCTGAAACAATAAGAAAAACGAATGAAATTAATAGCCGTTCCTGCGTAAATATACAGCCGTTCGTAGAGAATAACGAGCTGCAGCTATTTATAAAAAAAAAAAAAAAAAAAAAAAAAAAAGATAAGTCGACACTTATCTTGTCCCTTTCAGGCATTCTCGCAACTTCAAATTCTATTCTGGCATAAAAGAGATGGCAACGTGAATATACCAAGCACTCATCGATGGAGACCGATTATATACTTCGACGAAAGGATTCTAAGGACGCCGTCGAAATCAGAGCACAGTCGAAAATGGAGGTAAGGGGAATTAGTATATGCGTCACAAGTCCGTCGGTCTAAAAGCAATGGAATCGCCTTTCTAAATGCTCGGGATTATTTTCAAGCCGTGACCTGGCTTCTGAGTTTATATTTGAATGCGCGAGAAGTACTTTGAAGAGGGCCGATACCTACCCAGATACGTCTTCAATATCCTCAGCCGTAAATGCGCGCGTAAATTTAAACCGAGTCTATACTCGTACCACGCTCGAAAATGTAATATGTATATCGTTCAATTGTTATCGATATGACGAGTTACAGCTGAAGCTCGAATGCCTAAAAATTTTCACTTGAAAATGTGATCTACCATCAAAACTTATAACTCGATCTTACGCTGATTTATGGAATATAAACAGTCGAACGTAAGCGAAGGAAGAAGTTCATCAAGACGTAGGCGTTCGAAACTCGATAAAATCTATTTCGATTCGGATAAAATCTAGAATGTACGTGTACACGTTTAAAATCAAGTTAAACAAATTATGATTTAGAAATTATTGCTTTCTATACACAACGAGAAGTAGTATTATTATTTACGTAATGCTGCTTTTCATTGTATAACGTTACAACTTTATTTATCTCAACTCCACGGGGGGCAATTTAACACAAAAGGAGTTTACGTAACACAAAGGTTCAATGGTTCTGTTCGCTGCCCACGGTTTTTCATTTGAATAATAGGAGTTCACATTCAATGACAATTGAATCAAATAACGATGCACGATCACGAGCGGTTCAATTAAGATTGATCGTCGTGCATGGAGCAATTTTGGGCAAGAGGATTCGCATGATCCTATATCCGTTATAGAATAATTTTTTAATTAACATTTACTCGTCGAAAAGATACGACAGAGGAATATGATTCTAAATTTTGCTCGTTATATTTAAATTTAATGGATATTCCGATAGATTTCATCAATATTTGATGTTTAATATTTAATTTGAAAACATGTGGGATGTTATTTATTCTCGGAATTGAAACACTGCCAGATAAGAGGCGAAAGAAAACAAACGTTTAACTACAATTTTGATAATTATCATTGATTTACAAAAATTTTCACTACACCAACTGTATACTTTCCTATGAATTGTGTTTAATTAAAATTATAAAAATTTCCCAATTTTTTCTATAATCTGTGCCACGCAAATTTCATCAGAAAATGTTGCACGAATTTCAAAGAAACAAGTTCAAGATCTCGATTCTAGAATATAGCATGCAGACTACTAAATCATGTTATTTTGTGCGGCCGTGTCACGCGCCAACTCTGCTTTTTCGGTAGACGAAATTTAGACCAGACAGAGGTGGATAAACCCGGTTCCAACAATTTTTCGCGACACCAGCAACGACGACATCGATGACGACGGAACAAATAGTCGCCAAGTATAAATGCCAGCAAACATAAAGGCTGCGGTCGTACTTTTAATGACGTAGCTATTTCAGCTTTGATTTCATCCAGATGATTTTGCATAGAGCTCGTTTATTTTATCGTACAAAGTAGACCGCGCAAACGAGATCACCTAAATATTTCCATCGTTTTCCATCAATTGTGAAAATCGCTTGCGATCTACAGGATATTATAACAATTTTCAATTGGATGGAGAGTTTTTGAAGATCTCCTCTGTCTTTTTCATTTTTTCTTTTTTTTTTTTTTCTTTCTTCGAATTAAACTTTACATTAACATTTTCTTATTTTTAAGAACAAGCTCTGAAGATTTCAGCGACTCGTGGCAATCCTTAGCAAAACTTAAGTTAGAAATTGAAGAGCATTACAAATATCGTTTGGCGTATATATTTATACATGTGTATATGTATATATATATATGTGTGTGCGTGTGTGTGTGTCTATATGTACACATAAGTCACAAATAGTACTCTATTCAAAATCGTATAAACTGAACGTCGTGTTCCGTTTGGTTTGCCAAGGACTCGGAGTCGGACGCGGATGTGCTTCATATATATTTCGGACTAGTCATGTGCAGTTTCACGCGCAACATCTAGAGATGCAATACATTAATTAACTTCTATTTAATTTATCGTGCACTTGAATTATCTCCGCTCATAAATCAGGCCGCAACAAAGGAAATTTGAACTTGGAGTTTTATGATATTTTCACATCGTCTTCCGATATATGCGCGTACTTGTTGCCAACAACGTACTTACTCGAGATTTCTTGTTATTTCAAAGGGAAATATGTTTGAACGTGTAACTGAAGCCGTCGGAGAATCAAAGAATTATGGCAACAAACGCTGACAGTTTTAGTATCGTTTTACTGGCAAAAGAAATCTTTTTATAACCTAAGTTCAATTTGCTAGCAAATGCTAGTCCTAAAACTGTTTATTGTTTTTTATATCCATGGCTTCCTTTTTACTTTGTAAAATAAACGGATTATTAATTAAATCAAATGTCTGTATAACCTCTCATAAAGAGCGTTTCTAATAACGCTGATCACAATTGTAAATATTTTATAATAATGTTCATTTAACTTAATTACATTTCGTAATTGAGTTACAATAATTTATTTACCTTGATTGGCCACGTCGATTATTTCGTTTCTTTTAACTCTTTCAACGATGTTACATTAAACAAATGCATCACAGGGATACTTGCACATACTTGAAATAAAGTATAGTTAATAAAACATAGTTACATGTTGCTTTTAATGAAGTAGACTATACATACAACAGTAGGTAAAATAAAACTAGATGCACGTTCTTAATCTCTTATTGTTAGTAAGTTTACTGTCAATTAAATATGTTGTGCAATGTATGACCAAGTATGATATAGTAGAATGAATAAAAAGAAGATGAAAGTAGGCAATTAACAAAGTAATTAACAAAATAAATGCAATTTTATTCCAACAGACATTGTGGCATAGAAATTGTTATTTGAGGTTATGTAGGAGAATCTGACGTTTCTTTTGACAAGAAAATATTAATATTAAGTAAGTTGGTACATTTGCTATTAAATAAAGCATCTAACTTTGTTTAAAAAATTACATTGAGAAAAATCATCGATAAATTACATTTACAGCATGCAATTGATGCTTCATTGCAATGATGCTTTATTGTGCTCAACTGACGATAGCGCTTAAATATCACAAAATCTTCAAATATATCGAATTAAATAAATTTTGATAAATATTGAGGGTTAATTAACAGAAATTTTTTCTAATGCTTACGATACAGATGCAAAGTGTTAATGCGTTTAGTTAGAACACAACTTCGACTTCTTTTGTTAGCAAAACTTATTCTCAACTTTGAATGGAAAATTTATGTTGCATTAAACGAATGAAACGAAAACAAGACTATCGTATAAATTGCCGCATAAAATAAAATTTCAAATACAACTTTCTTCAATTTAGGTATGTACATAATTATCTTTCGGCATGCTGCATAAAACTGCGATAAAATAACAATAAACTGCGATAAAACACGTTTCTCCTTACGCTACAAATAACATAGAAAATTAATTAACTTAAATATATAATTACTTTTCATTGACGAGCTCTATAAAAAAAAAAAACATGGTAAAATGTTAAAGTTCATCGTGTATTATAATAAAGAAAATATTATCAACGACGTGAGATACAACGTTACAACTTTTAAGCACAGATGACAAACGTTTAACGTATATTTTGCAACGTTAGCCCTATTAAAAAAAAAAGTAGAAAAACAGTAGGAAAATTTTCAAACCATGAATACATTTTATACACTAAGCGTGTGATTATCACGTGTCGGCGTATTGCGTTTAGGAAGCAGCTGGCGGTAAACTAATGTTGATTGTTCCGTTGAACGAAAGGTTAACCGACAATTGAACTATTCTGTGTTACGTTGCCATCAAAAAGAATGATAATAACCGTTTCGATTGTAAGCTCCTTCTAATTAGTGCTTATGCTGAAAATTAACGAAGATACAGTTGTTTTTCTTTGACAAACATACAAACAAACGAACATCTAATTTAATTATGCAAATTTCGTTAATTAAATGGATGTACTTGTTAAATAAAATTTTATTTAATGGTTAACACGTACAAGTGTAAATGACATATTCTAAACAATTTTTGTGCCGGCCTGAAAGAAAGAAATGTTTTGTAAAATGTTAATTTCCTATTTATATTGGACACAGTATTTAAAGTAAGAAGTATTCAGAATTTGAATAATATAACATTTAATATTTAATGCGAAATCCAATAATAAAATCTGATCTTTCTATTGTATTATTTAATTAAATTGAAAAATTCGCATTATATAGTGACATCTGAGACAAAAGTAGAATAAATGTATGTGCATAGTGGCAAATCTATGCTGGGGGTTTAAAAGCTAATGAACCAAACAAATTTTAAACCAAAGCAAGTTTTTAAATTGTTTCTTATTTTTATAGTAATAATTCTAACATCGAATATTGTTATCACATTTAAATTATTAACTTGTAGAAATTAAATCAATTTATAACAATTAATGAATTGCTTTAGAAATTCCCTATTTCATCTGATCGGTTGCGCGCGCGATTTAATTTTTTTTTAGAACAAATCTTAGATCCAAGCAAATTTTTAAATTACTTGATATATATATTTATAGCAATTATTCTAAATAAACATCGAATATTATTATAACGTTTAGATTATTAATAATTGAATTAATAATTTATAATAATTAATCATTTCAGAAATACATAAATTCCCTATTTCATTTGGTCAATTGCGCGCGCAGTTTACTTGAGTTAGAAAAGCGCGGGAATGTCATTGCGCCATTTGCGGCGCGAAGAGTCATTGTACTGTCAGAAATCGTGATGTCGGGATGTTTAGTTTGTTTGAAGTGTATCTCATTAATCTCAGTATCTTTCATTATCATTTCGTAAGTACTTATACAGTTTTCCTAATTACTATATGTTTATTTAATCGTTATACTGTCAAACATTGTAATTGTAGCTATCATTGAACCGTCATGGCGTCAAACTACGTTTCAAAAATGCAGCAACAGTTCGTAACATTTTCATATCCCGTAAGTATTTATATACGATTATTAGCTCTTGTAACAATTACATCATTTATCATTTAATTGTTTATTATCATCATCATCATCATCAATTTTATATCAAAGTCATAAAGTTTATCGAAATCATCTTGTACTTTTCTTGTTGATCGTATATTGAATTATCGATAGAAAGTTTTGACATAAGTTAAGTACTAATACCAATCTCTATTTTCAGGAGGTGTTTGTGATCGCGCGCAATGCAATCGATAGAGTCAGTGTTCGCCGCGTAACGTCATTTTTAATATTTTTTTTAGAGCTTCCGTTAACAGTTATAAATTCAGTTAGAGTTTTAACGCGAAATCGGAATCAGTGTTTGTTCACCGATGATAATTTAAGGCTATAAGCCGAAAAGATACGACATATTGTCATTCAAGACGCAACTACAATAGTGGTATATCCGAAACATGGGAAGGTATTTTTCATTACTATTATTTTATTACTTTATTACTATTCCACCTCTATATTGAGTAAATCACAAATGTTTATTACTGTTGTGAACGATTAACATCGGTCGAAGTTTCTGAATTAGAAGATTTTGAATTAGAGTTACAAATGAACATTATTTTTAATTGATGATCGTGTCTGCTTTAATGTTTATAAGATAAAAATCGCGATTCTTTTCAAAAAATTTTACTTTTACTAAAATATCTTAAAGAATTAATTATTTAAATACTGCGTTTAATTTGAAGGTAAATCAGAAAGATGTTAATTTTTATTTAACTTCCTAGTATTGCAATTTATTATTATCATGTAGATTAAAAGTAATTGTTTTATTCTTATTCAGATTTCAAGATTTTCCCATCCCGCGTTGTAATTACTTTTTTAATTAGCGTTGCGTTGATAAGTAATCGCGATTTATTCATAAAATGCCCAGAATTCTTCCACAATGGAATTGTGGAAATATGTTCCAGTCTCTGCGGGTCCTAGATGGATATTAATTATATTAAAGATTATTAAATTTTTTGTAATCCGAGTTTGAATCATTCTGAGATCATTACAGAAAAAGATTCATCTAAGTGCCATATAAATATGGTGACACAGACCATCAGTTCCATCTCTTCTTTTCTTTTTCAACATTTCTTATTTCTCTTTAAAGTCTTTATTTTTTTAAAATATTGCTAAAAATATATTTGTTTGCTATTGATGAATATTCCCGATTTTCTCTAACAATATTCTATATTGTTATAAATTACCCGAATAAAAAATTTTATTAAGCTATAAATTTCACTAAATTATTTACAATGTAAATTTGTTTTGAGAATTATTCTTTGGGATCAAGAAGAAAGGAGGCTCATATATCATATAATATCTTATTTCTTTTTACTTAGGTTTTGTTTGAGTTAAGTCTGTAGATTTTTATATAGGTATTTGTATAAAGAAACCTTTAGATTTTCAAAGAAAAGAAAATACATATTTAATTCTTATATATCATATAGACAAGGTGCTATAGGTAGAGACCATTAGTATATTTAGCCATTTGTATAGCTATGGTTTAAGAGAACTTATCAACTTTAAGTAAATAGCTTAATATAGATTTTTAGTTGGTTGGAGTACTTTCTTCTGTAAACTCATTTATCATTTTAATATCGCTTACGATATTACCGACTCAAGGTAGAATGAATGTAGTCGATATTGAAGAATTGTTCACATCTGATTTCCATTCTCACCGCTAGGTGGTGCAGTGATCTTATTTCACGTTGTGTAGATAACATTAAATGTGATATTAACGATAACCGATAAAAGGAAAAATCAAGAGAGATCTGTGAAAAAATATTAAGCGATACTTGCGCCACTAGTGAAGTATAGAGCAAATTAATATTATTATTAGCCTTACCGACTCAGTAGGACGCACGATTGCAACGCCAGTGGTTGGGATTAGAATCAAATATGAACATAAATTCCAAATGATTCAGAAAGAATCGTACTATGGACCGGGAATATTAAATTACTAGTTGAAAGAGGAGATCTTGAAGATATTCTTCTTAGAACTCGGCTTGAATTAACTCTAAGTATTTCCTTCGAATTAATTTGCAAACTTGATTTACTGTAAACAATATGTATTATGAATTGTTCAACGCACGATCATTTTATTTCGATAAAATTCGCAGAAATCCTGAAAAACATTAAAAATAGTCACTTTTTTAAATTTGAAATAATTGTCAATTTTTAAAACTTATTTGCGAATTAATTTGTATTTCGAAAAACAAGCTACGTAGTTTTTTCAAATTCAAAAATTATATAACTCATCGTCAATGTGATAATAAAGATTAAATTCGCTCACATCCGCTAATTTTGCCGATTTTAATCGTCGTATTAAATACCACTTACAGAGATACGATTTTAAATCTTGTTAAGCGATAATTTTCTTTTTTTTTTTTTTTTATACTGAACATGTTTTCAAATCTGTAAATTTTAGGAAAAAAGTTAGATTGTTCAATTTTGTCTAATGATCAAAACAAAGATAAGAATGAAAATTACTAAGAATTGTTAAGTGCTTGCAGAATTATTCTGCTTGTTGTTATTACAAATCAACGAATTATTTACGAACAGTGATACACACGAACATAAAGAGTCCTTTTGAATACTTGGTAAATAATCTGCAACAAATGACATAACGCGAACAATGGCAAAATAATATTGTATTTTCAGTTGAGTAACTTTTCTTTGCCACCTTGTAAAACACGAAACAGCACTTAAAAACGAAGAGTTATAAGATATCCGTATGTAGATAAACGTATAAACGTATTTCGTCAGTTTTCTCAAATTCCCAATGCTTTTCGTTGCATAACACATATTCCACAGGATAGTACATTACATATTTCTTACATTCAATAAGAAATTGGTAGAACTCCGGTTTGTGGTTTATAAACGTCTCGTTCTGTCTTGCAAGTATAAATAAATTTTCATTCAGAAATAAAAAAAAAAAAAAATGTCAAAAGAGAATTTTTCACCGCACGCACTCGTTTCATTATAATTAAGAATAATTAAGAATAAATGTTTCGAAAAGAATTGGAGGAAAAAAAAAGAATACTCGAAACGTTAAATGGCAAGATTGACGAGAGAGATACGTGATAAATTTTCCTCCCGTGCCTCCTCTCTGTTTATGCCTTCGATACCGGTGACAAATAAAATCGCCACCTATTCGTTTGGAATTATATAAAAGAATCATTTCGCGATTTATCAAACACGTATGTTACTTAAAGCATTAGCTTTCCATTATTATTCAAAACAACGAGTACCTTCTATTCTCAGATATTCCACTTATCAACGTTCAAATACTTTGAACACACACGCCGGCTATTTGCCAGCGTTGTTAATAGTAATTATCGAGTATCAGAATACGTATGTATGCGTTTTTATTTTACGCGCCGACTATTTTTGCATTTCGTACGTACGTAAGTTGGTGGCGTATAATTTTCCAGCGGTTGTTTCTTCTTCCACGCGAAGGACAAACGTAAAAGAAAAAAAAAAATATTATCCTTACTTTTAAATTGGAGTTTTATTTCGCATCGCGAACGAATACAGAAAATTCCCGGCATTGAACGATTTATGGCAGCGTTTCGTAAAATATCACGCGCGCAACTGCAACGATAAATTATTAAACCATTTCAACGTATTTGCATTTTCATTTTCATTTATATATTCACGCTAATAGCCTCACGGTCGTGTAATCAGATTTTTTCCTATGTTTCCTTGGCAATGGTTGTTTCCTATAATTATGCCAACGAATATTTTAACATAATGGTCGAGCAAGCAGCTTTCGATTGCTGGTGCTGCTCCAAATTTCTTTCAGTTTATTTTTTTTTCTTTTTTTCTTTTTAGTACATTTTTTTTTTTTTTTTTTTTTTTGTGGGTTTTTTTCGGTTTTTTTTTTTTTTTTTTTTTTTTTTTTATATTTTTTTTTTTTTTTTTTTTTTTATGTCGGTTTTAATCGCGTTTGACTTATATTTTTGATTTCATTCGAATCCAGAGTATTCTTATGTCGGTTTTAATCGCGTTTGACTTATATTTTTGATTTCATTCGAATCCAGAGTAATACTGGTGTATTGTCTCGAGTTCCATAGCGTTCGTTATCTCTCTCCATTTATTTTTTCGACGTTTCACGAACAAACGAAGGAGAAATATCGAGCGGACAGACCGAGTAACTCATTATTGCAAATATAATCGTTTGTGACGTTCGTATTTCGTCACCGAGTGATTCAACTTGATCGAAACGCAATTAAGGAATGCACCTACGAAAACAATCGTCACGTTGTCCGATGTTTCGTGCTGTTCGACGAGAAAAAAAAAAAGAAAAGAAACAATACTCGTCGATAGATAAGTACCGAGAAATAAAGAAAGAATTTGAATGATTAATTTTTAATCGTATTACTCGGTAGACGAGTAATTAGTGGAAATATTGGACGTGATGTGAAATTCTCTGACTTCGAATCACCTTTAGTTTTTTCACTACTGTACCGTGATTGTGTACGACGCAACAATATATTGTAACAGTCCAGGCTGAGTTAAACGTTGGAGGAATTACTCACATGATGCGACAAACTAGCATATCTGGTATCGCATCTGCTGTTAAAGGGACTAGTTTTTTCTGTTTTTTTTTTTTTTTTTTTTTTTTTTTTTATTTTCCATAACAAGAAACGTTTCAATGTCTCGCGAGCCTTGAGCCATTAAAAAAGAGGCTCGTGTAGTCGAGCAAGTTAGAAAAATTGTTTTTAATGCTAGAACTTGGCCAAAATGGTCAAAATTTATAATTTGTGGCCAAAGTTTGTAATTAGAAATTTCGTAGAAAACAGCGCATTTTCGGAGAATATAAATGTATAAATTCTTTCGTAAAATATATAGATAAAAGTTTGTGCAACGTTATTGCTACCATAAAGATTCTCTATTTTTTCACATTAATGTTTCTGTGATGGAAATTTTATGCTTTGAGTAGTCGTGGCGTTAAACCTGTCTTGATAAACAAAATTCTTAACAGCGAAATAGAATCTTTGACTTTGGAGTTCCTTCCAAAGAAATATATCAGAAAAGAAATAGTGAAATAGTCTTGTACTGTGAAATAAAGTAAAATAAAAAAAATGTAAAATAATATAAAAAATATAATAATATATAATAAAATATAAAATATAATATACAATATAATATATAATAAAATATAAAATATAATATACAATATAATATATAATATAATATATAATAAAATATAAAATATAATATACAATATAATATATAATAAAATATAAAAGAATATAAAATAAAAAAAGTGTCCTTCAGAAACTAACTGCTTATTATCCGTTATTTACCAAAATAAAGAGTTCAGTTCTAACTATTGTAATTGTTTTAAGCGACAAAAAAATCAGTTCTTCGTTTTAACAGTCTGTCAATTTTACGGGTTGATAAATTTAAAAGAAAAAAAAAAAAGGTAATTTGGAAAAGTACCATGATCTCGGTTATATACATGTATGCGTTGCAGCCAAGTGACTTTCGTAATATTAATCATCCTGGATAATGATTACGTGTATATAAATCGGATTGAATACGAAAACAGATTAACCCCCATTACCGAAGAATTAAATAATCTTCATTACATATTCCTTGGTAGAGGCTAAACTGCATATACATTATGTGCAGAAACATGTGCTCGTTGCGATCGTGTATATAGCGTGTATATCGTTTATGATAATATGTAATAATACGAAACGTGTAATACACGTGTAATACGCATTCATACACAGGTAAAACAAAAGTTTTAGTTCATCTATCCGGTGGTATTACGCGTATTATACGAATCATTATCATGAAAAATTTCGTTAACAGTAGTTGTAGTAAGAAACGATTATCATGAATTAAATTGAAAGTTTGAAACTGTATCTGTATCTGAAATTGTGCGTAGAAGTATTTAGTATAATATTTAGTATAAGTGTATACATGTCTCGCAAAGTGATCATAGACGGACAATCTTTAGACACAAAACTACCAAAATATCGTAAATTGATTACTGTCAACACTATATTAAATATTTTATATATATTAAATTACATAAATATTTAATATTGTATATATATATATTAAATATATAAATATTTAATATTTTATGTATTTATATTAAGTATATAAATATTTAATATTTTATATATATATATTAAATACATAAATATTTAATATTGTATATATATATTAAATATATAAATATTTAATATTTTATATATTTATGTTAAGTATATAAATATTTAATATTTTATATATATATATATTAAATACATAAATATTTTATACCTTATATATATATATTAAATACTTAATATTTAATTTTACCTTATATATTATTATATTATTATATTTTATTATTATATTTTACCTTATATATATATTAAAGACGTAAATATTTAATATTTTATATATTTATATTAAGTATATAAATATTTAATATTTTATATATATTAAATGCATAAATATTTAATATCTTATATATATATTAAATACATAAATATTAAATATTTTACATATATATTAAATATTTTATATTAAACATATTTTAAATACATTATCATCATGAAATGATATTTTTACAAATTTATTACCCACAATATAGACAATATCAAATCTTTATCAAGTCAATATCAATTCTCATTGTCAGTGTCAGTGGAAATTATTCTTTATTACTTATATCGTGTGCAATATATTACCTATCAAGTTTCTACTAAATGTAAGGCTAAGACAGTGAACGTCTCGTCAGTATTGTGCACAGTCTCGAGAGTAGTAATTTCGAATTTTACCCAACACAATCGTCAGCACAATTGTGTCCGAAAATTGTCCCAAAGATTGTCGATGAAATTCCAGAATCTACATTACAACGTGTACACGTAAAAGTTTCCTCCTGCGATATTTTCGCAATCCGTTTAATTCTTCCTCGGTTAATTATTCCGAATTTTTAACGATCTCGCGAGATCTCGAGTTTGGCCAATCGAAAAAAAAAAAAAAACTCGAGAGAATAAATACACACAAACAGAGAGAGATACACACGAACGTGTATTAATCGCCGTTCACTCGTGGAACTGGACTAGTCGACCCTGGACCAAATGTGTGTATGGCAAATATATAGCCCTTCACGAATTCTCGAATGAAAACGGCTCGAATGTGGCACGTAAGAAATGTCTCTGCCCCCTCTGTACAGACAGTGAGTAAAAGTAAGATATAAAAAAAAGAAAAAAAGAAAGAAAAACTTACGCGAATGCGCAATCTCTTCCGACGTATCGTAAATTTATCAGCGTGGAAGACAGACGAGATACAAAAGGAGAATTTTCTTCTTATATCGATCAACCTTTCCCTTTATATCGATAAAAGGGGAAAGACAGATCGGCATCTAAAGTCCATGATTTCGAGGCAAAGTGCGTCCAATAAAATTTGCCAGATAAGATTTCTTTCGCGTGGAATTCTCGTTTTTAGAAAAATTGAAAAGGCGGATAAAAGCGCGCCGCGCAAGAGAAATATCGATCACCTTGCTCGATCAATCAAGAACAATACCTGTCGATTTCACGTTGATAAATAAATTCGCTTTCGAGCGATTACACGGTCCACGAATGCATGTTTATTTCGCAATCGCACGATACTGATTTCACGCCCGTTGTTTCCTTTTTGTTTGTTCGATGTTTTATTTTTTTTATTTCTTCAGTCTTCGATTTTGAGGTGTTTCTTTAAAAATTCTGGTCAACTATTAATTTTTGAGGGGTATTATTTGTTGCTGTGAATTACAGTTTGAAGATCGTTTCTAAAATCGGGCAATGTAATTCGTAGATGGCTATACTACTGACTTTTTTAAATTCTCAGTTGGATTAAAGTAAAAAGAAAAAAAAATATAGAAGAACTTTGTAATACATGTCTGGAGCACGCTAGCCTTTATTCATACATTTTACAAAAAAAGAAAAAAAAATCATTCAAATCTCTAAAAATAAACTGTTTTACACTTGTAAAGCATCACGCCTTTATTCATGCACTTTATAAAAAAAAGAAAATAATTATTCAAATCTCTAAAAATACATCGTCTTACACCTATAATGTGTCTAACGCAAGCACACCTTTATTCATACATTTTACAAAAAAAAAAAAAAAAAAAAAAAAAAACAGAATCATTCAAATCTCCCAAAAATACACCGTTTTGCAACTATAAAATATCTAAATTAAAAAATTGCAAATCTTCCAACAATTTCCAGTGTTAACCCACTTGCGCTGGCGACTGATTGCGGACCATAACGAGTGACCAGAACCGTATAAAATAAATTCGTCGCTTTCTTCTCGAGCTCATCGGTACGATATGTCAGTTGGGTAGAAATTCTTGAGAAGTAATAAATTTATCATTTGTCTTTAAGATATATTATTAATATATTAAAACTGAGAAAACATTACAATTTTGGAGCAAAGAATTCTCGACGTGCGTAGCACATTATTCCAGCGCAAGAGGTTAAAACGAGGTACCGAAGCCTCTACGAAAATTAACTTTGCAGAGAATCATTCGCAGATCCTCATCCGCGTAAATATCCGGTGATCCGATGATAATTTCATAATATGTACACGCACATATGTGCAAGTTGTACCGCAATGATTTGCAGCAACGCGTGTGAGGTCATTCGTGATCATACGAGGCTAGGTTTCTTCCGAAGTGACAAATTAGTCGGTTCTAGGTTGGCTGTGACTAAGCACAAACGCGTAGAGATACGCGTTAACAGTGTGAGCTAGGTCTAGATTACATCTAGACAGGTGCGCATTGTTTCCAGGTACGATCAATAGAAATAAGTCGGCTATCGTCGATAACACGATCCTCTGTTATTATTACATCGATCGAAATTGGGCATGGCTCCACGCAGAGATGCAATTTTCGCCTTCGACGTAATTTTCAATGATGAACGTCGCCGCCTAATTACGTCACTGAATCACAAAACGCCCAAATTTGGAAACGTTCGAGTCGGATTTAAATTATTCATAAAGAAAATGACATGAATATATAATAATCATACTATAAACGTAATGTAAATCATCAACGCGACATAACGAATTAAAAATGATAAAAAATTGAAAATAATAAAATTAAAAAATAATAAAATCGATGTAACAAAAATATACACACGTGTAATTGGTTCCGTTTGAGTTTAAATCCAACAATGGCGATTGAAATTTAAATTGTAGATTAAGTCCGTTTCAAACGTACATGAGTTAGTCTGTCGTTCGGTATAGATATTGGTTAATCCCGAAGTAAAACCAGTTGTAACTAGATTTTATATAACTGGATCGATTAAATCTTATATTACCATTGGATTTTTCTTCCGACTGAATTTCTCAAGCGCGTTTGCTCGCTGTCGTTGATTGTTTTCTTTTCTTTTTTTTTTCTTTTTATGGAATTTTCGAACAAAAGCTATAAATTCAAACTTCGCCAGACAGTTGGTATTTTTATAGAAGAATAAAGATCGCCGGTTTCAAGGCGATCGCAAAGTGGGAGTGTGGAACTTCCTAATTCCATATATTACAGAGAGAGAGAGAGAGAGAGAGACTAACGTGGCTCGGCTAGAAGTAAATCGACCTTGATTTGAAATAGTAACCTGGACAGTAGGAGACACAGCTAGATGAAAGTACGATAACTCTGAAGCTGAAAAGACGCGGAGCGAGTGCGTTCCTTATGTAATATCAATTGCAACGCGATAGAAATTTATGTAAAGCAGAGAGGCGAACTTTACTCGTCAAAAACTTTACTCACCGGTGTCATTATCGTGCCCTTGAATTCCATCTCCCACATCCTCGGTGGCCGTGGAAAGAGCTGAAACCAAGACAAACAAGATCGTTCTGCATTCTCGTCTTTTTTTTTCTTTCTTTCTTTCTTTCTTTCTTTCTTTCTTTCTTTCCTTCTTTTTTTTTTCCTCTTAACGTTCCTCAACCGTTAATTATTAATGCACACCGCGTTATAAACATACGGGCCCTAGAAAGTAATCGTGCAACCTTCTATGCTTCGCGAGTAAATGTCGGCCTTTGATGTTGCCAGCTGCTGCTCGCTGCCAAACAACGCTTGTTTGTTCAATCGTTATTTACTTATTTATTTATTTATGTAGAAAATTCGAAGATCAGCGACGTGCCTGACAGTTTTAACAGTTCGATATAATTCATTCGTAAGCAAAATTCCGACATGCGGCTCGACTTTGCGCGAAAATTAAACTGATCAGAAAGATCGGTGAAATTAGTCAGTAGATTGTTCAAAAGTCTTACGCTAGTAAGCAATAGCTAAATGACAATGGAAGAAGCAATAATACTACATGTATTATTAATAGCACAACAAAAGGATTAGTAAAGTAGCAAAAAGAAAAAAAAAGTAAGAAGCAATGAATTAAACTATGATATGTAGTTAATAAGCCTAAAAAATTTTCCAAATGCAATTTTAATTGTAAAAACAAACGATCAAATACGTATTTATTAAAATATACAATATTTAGTGATACTAGTATACAAACGTATACAATCAGGCTTTTTCTGAAATCGAATGGACATGTTAGTTCAACGTTTGAATTTGTTGGTCTTCTAATATATATATATATATATGCATATAGTATCTAGTATCTAGTATACAATATATATATATATATATATATAGTGTTTAGTATATTAGTGTATATATAGTATCTAGTATATAGTATCTAGTATACTATATATATAGTGTTTAGTATATAGTGTATATATAGTATCTAGTATACAATATATATAGTGTTTAGTATATAGTGTATATATAGTATCTAGTATACAATATATATAGTGTTTAGTATATAGTGTATATATAGTATCTAGTATACAATATATACAGTGTTATAGTATATAGTTTATATTTAGTATCTAGTATATAATATATATAGTGTTTAGTATATAGTGTATATATAGTATCTAATATATAGTATATATATATATATATATATAGCATTTAGAATATAGTATATATATGGTAGGCCAAAAAATGTCTTCCCACCTATTTTCCTTTAATAAAATATCGAAATATTAAAGAAAAACTAATTTTATTATATAAATATATATAATAGAAAAGTTGCGGATTTTGAAGATGCAAAGTTGCAGATTTCGTCCACCCTGTAATAGGATATATACGCTCCAGAGACAATTATTCTTTCAAGATTCCAAGTGTCGTGTTATCCATCACATAATCGTCTTACCGAAAGACATCACTACGTGGCCCTCACCTCGTGGCCAGATCCTTGACGAACAATATTCTCTATCGTTAGACAATGCAACGTCGGATTGCTTCCCCTTTCTCTTTAATTCTGCATATTCATGCGAAAGTCTCGTGACAGATACATAGGTACATAGGTCTCATGACTGAAGGTATGAACTTGAACGACATTTGTTAGCCCTGCTTGTCGTTAGTTCTACGAGTCCCTGATCATAAAGTACGAAGGCATACTCACGAAGGGGCTCTTTCTTAGGAAAAATCCCAGTCGACGCTAGCGTTAAGAATTATTGACAATAACACCTTATCGTACGACGTCTAACTGATTATTATAAGCGCAGATAAAAGGAAATCTGTTTTTCATTATTTTTTTTCAAACGCTTTCTTATTATCCGCTCGCATTGTCAAGCTCTGCTTGCGTCACGTTATTCTACATCGTACGTTGTTCTAATCGCCCTGCAGAAAATTCTAACAGAAACATGTCTGCTCGCGTTGTCACACTCCGCTTGCGTCACGTTATTTCGCATCGCATACATTGTTCCTGCGTTCAAAAAATTCTGAACAGAAAACGTGAAATACGTACGACTGGTTTTTCCACTCGGACGTGTAACACAACCAAGCACGACCGAGCGCAAACAAACGAACACTGGCTGAAACTCGACGACGTTTCGCTTGTCCGCGTGGCCATTCTCAAAACATTCTTGAATCGTACTTTGTACGCGTCAAAACTCGACTCAGGCGACTCACTTCGTGTTGGTGGGGATTTTTCATTTTGTAATCAACATTTTTCACAGGTCTAGTTGTCCAGAGGCACTAATTACACAGACGTAGATTACACAGGCGTGATTATGTACATACATTCCGAAAGTTGATTGAATAATAAGCGGAGTAGCGGCATGGATCAACAAAAATTCGATTTACGTAGGAACTGTTGCGCAATAATTTATTATATAACTATTTAACGTTGACAGACTTGTGAGAAATTGAACAAGAAATTGTAGACGGTAGATTTCTATTAATAGTTAATAGTTTATCCTTCACTATTATATTTATAATTATATTAATATCTAATAATTTATTTACATTTAATAATTAATCAGTTAAAATTTATCTTGCTATTATTTTAATTGCTATTTATTGTGAAGTAGTTTTAAGTAACTCAAAAGAATCGCAAAATTGCGAAATTTTACAAAATTCACCTTGATAATTACCATTTATTTTAAAATAATTTTATAGTTTTTTTTTTTTTTTTTTAAATTTTCACTGTTAATGATATTAGTTGAATTGTCCGACGTGTTCGAACGATTTTAAGACAAATCAAATCAAGTCAAATGTGACCTTTGACCTGTTCACATCCACGAGCGGATCTTTCGATTTCCATTTAGAGAGCCGCATGCCATCCAACGTCGATAAACGATTAATTCCGCAACGAACCGAACGAGGTGCAATTAATTTGTTCTTCCCGTCAAAAAAGCCTTCAGCGCGATCAATGACACGTGAACGTGCAACATTAAAATGGCTACTGGCTAGTACAACGGAGACCGGAAAAGAAAGAAAAAACAGATACAGAGAACGTCGACCGCACACTAAGAAGTTACGCTGATTCTCATTCAACGGGAATAAACTTTATGACAAGCTTACTGTTCAGGAAGTGAACAGTACCGGAAAATAAATCTATAGCTACGCAAGGCCGGCCAATTGGTGTCTCTCGATGTCGCTCGTTTTATCATTCCACTGTACGCGAATCTTTTGCTACGAACAAAAAGAATTGAGAAGGCAGTGAGAATGCCACGATATTAAAATACGCTAATTGTAATAAATATAATGTAATATAGGGTAGCGAAAGTTTTTTTTTTTCTTTTTTTTAATCCCTTACGCTGGCAACTGGTTCGCGGACCATAACGAGTGACCGTATACGATAATTCGTCGCTTTCTTTTCCTTTTGAACTTGTCGGTATGATATCACTGGTTAGAAATGATTAAAAAGTAATAAGCTTAAGTGTTTGTACTTGAAACTGAGAAAATATTGCAATTTTGGGGCAAAAGATTTTTGACATCCAGCGCAAAAGGTTAATAAAACATCGAAGTATGAGGAAAAATTAATTTTATTAATTTTAAATTAAATCCAAGTTCGAACAGGATTTTTTTCGTTGTTTTGAAAATTGTTAATTGAAACTATTATTTTCAATGTATAATAAAAAAAATTGCGGATTTATTTTAGTATAATATACTGAGAGTATTAGCTATTTTCTAAAAGATAGATGCAAGAATTTTAATCACGATGACTTGTGAATTCATTAACTTGCGTGTTACCATTCTTTTTTTTCTCAGCAATCTGAGAAACTTCTCGGAGAAAGTAGATTTCTAGTTTAGCGGTTTTTTCCAATTTTAGCTATTCTACTATTATAATTTCTTTCTTTTTTTAAGTAACATTTTCGATTCACCTCGAGTGACCTATTTTAGTAATGAAAATTTACCTAAACTTCTTATCGATTGATCAAACGAAAATGAAATCTGACAATTTGACTAATTGTGTCACGTAACGTAATGACCAATTAAATTACCGGTAACAGTGATCGCTATTGTCGCATCTAGAGGCAACGTTATGTCAATCAAAGACGAGTCGGACTCGTCAGCTCGATTTGAATCACGAAATATTTGCGCAACCTGCAACAAACTATCAGTATCAACAGAATGAAATACGTTTCATTTCATCGATTACCCGAGATTCTCGATGGAATCGCTCATTCGGTTCGAAGTCGCGAGACGGAAACGCAATTCTCAATAGGAATCACAAGCCCCAACCGGAATTCGAAGATTGTTACTCAAGGATAATTATAATTGTAGGTTACTATGTTTACGTTACGCCGCGATTACCACGTGCGGTTTCCACACGCTTATCTCTCTTTCTCTCTCTCTCTCTCTCTTATTATTCACAAATATTCCGAAATAACTTTCAACGTCGGCCGAATCATCACGATTACGGTCCCTGGGGGAAATACACTGCTCACAAAAAATTGGGGGATACTTCAAACTGAATACGAGGCGATAAAAAAAGAAGCATTTGATTTTTTTTTTTTTATTAACCTCTTGCCACGTACGTCGAGAATTTTTTGTCCCAAAATTGTAATATTTTCTCAGTTTCTAAGTATATTTAAGTAAAACAAATATAGGCGAAACAACTAATAAATTTATTACTTCTCAATAATTTTAATTCATATAGTGATATACCGACATGTTCAAAAAGCAAAGCGACGAATTAATGTGTACGGTTTGGTCGCTCGTTATGGTCCGCAATCAGTTAACCAGCGCAAGTGATTAAGGATACCTATATAAATAATGTCGTTTCCTGACGCTGTAGAAAATTTTATTTTATTTAAAAGTTAATACAGCTTTAATCTGTAATATAATTTACCAATAGACGCACTAAATGTCAATGTATTTAACTAGAATATAGGTTATATTAGGCATAACATAGATTATGTTACAACATATTATATATTATATATTATAGCATAATATGTTATAATAAGTAAAATTATATATTTAAGTAAAGCAAAATAGGCAAAACAAATAATAGATTTATTGCTTCTCAATAATTTCTATCCAGCGAGTTCAAAAAGAAGCGACGAATTATTGTATAAGGATCGGTCGCTCGTTATGGTCCGCAATCAGTTAACCAGCGCAAGTGGTTAAGGATATCTACAAGTAATGTCGTTTTCTGACGCTGTAGAAAATTTTATTTTATTTAAAAGTTAATACAGCTTTAATCTGTAATATAATTTACCAATAGACACACTAAATGTCAATGTATGTATAACTAGAATATAGGTTATATTAGGCATAACATAAATTATGTTACAACATATTATAAATTATATATTACAGCACAACACGTTATAATAAGTAAAATTATACATCTAAGTGAAACAAAATAGGCAAAACAAATAATAGATTTATTATTTCTTAATAATTTCTATCCAGCAATATCATACCGACAAGTTCAAAAAGTAATCGACGAATTGTTGTGTACGGTGTTTGGTCGCTCGTTATGGTCCGCAATCAGTTAACCAGCGCAAGTGGTTAAACAAGAGCATCAGAAAAGCAAACGACAAGTCCAACAAAGTTGTTCTTGTTTAATAAAGAAAAGTACGACAAAAAAAAAAAAAAAAAAGAAGGATCAAATGCTTCTTTTTTCGTTCTATCGCTTCATAATCACTTTGAAATGTCCCCTAATTTTTGCGAGCAGTGTGTTTCGCTCGTGCATAAAGCACTATCTCCCGTGACGTCAATACCACGTTCTCCTTTGCATCATTATCCAATAAACGATATCCGTTGGATCGAAACGAGTGTTTACCACCCGAGCCAAACCCGAACACCGAACAAGATCGATTATAAATATTGATGACAGCCTCGGTTTAATGCGAGTATCATTAAAAAAAAAAGTCATGCGCGGCTGCACGCGAGTCGTTTGCAACGTGGAAACAGAAAAAACGAAAATCGCGACACAAGGTGTTCGTCTCACGTGCGCACACTTTGAACCTCGAAGCCGGAAAATATTCCTTTCATCATTCAAATTTCGGAACAGATGGAATAATCGATTTACGAATGAAATAACGAGGGTACGTCGTATGTGTAATTCACCTTTTAACGAGAAGGACAACCTTGAACACGATTCGAAAACAATTGCGATACTTAGCGGGCGGCGTGCATAAGAACGAGCCGAGCGTATCATCAATTTTACGTCACGTAACGATGATGGAACAATCTCGCTGTGCTCCTAAACACGTTACGCTTGCGAATGTATTCGAGTTCTCGAATTTTCGAATTCTGTCTTTCCCCGCAAGACGAAAAAACGAAGAGGAAACCGTGAAACTGTTATCTAAAAATGTGTCGTACGTATGTGTGCACAATTTGTACAGAGGGAGATTAACAGGACGTGAAGCGCGCGCGAACGCAGCGCAAGATCGCTTTTATCGCTTTTCATAATAAATTTTCAAGCGAGCATGCAGCATCGCTTGTCACGTGAAAGGAGAGGGCAAACATCGGCACAGAAACATCGTAAAAGCGTAAGAATATTCTCTTATCTCCTTTCGAATAGCGCTACGCGTTCCATTGAAAGTTGACGCTCAACGTTATAATACGAAACGAAATTTTCGCCTTGGAAATAGCTTCGCGAAAGAGAGAAAGAGAGAGAGAGAGAGAGAGAGTCCAGCTTTTTGCAAATGTATTGTCTGTGCGAATGGATTTCGTCGTTTCTGAAATTTCATTAGTAGGAACGTCATAATTATGTTAGAGGGTTTGAAACAAATCTGGATACAAATCTAAAAATATTTAAACAGTCGATCATCCGTCGTTTATACCTCTCGCCATTTTTAACTCTTATATAATTATACTCGTCAACACGTTGTGGGCTGTCATTAACGCATAAACGTAATTAAATAGCAATCCTTCATTGAAAAAAGAGAAAAAAAAAAAAAGAAAAAAATCAAATTCCAACGATGGACCGACCTTTAGAGATTCGAATGATTTCTCGTAAATCATGTCCAGCGTAAACAATAGCCTGCGTTCTTCAACTTTTTACCATAAATAAAGCTTTCCCTGTTTCTTGTATTTTTTATTTCAACCGATACGTATGAATTTCGTGCTTTAATCATCTAGTCAGACGCGAAAGAGGAGAAAAAACAGTAGCTAAGAAGAACGTCGACGATTCTCGATTTTTTTCTCGCATTTCTCGATGAGAATTTGAGATAAATCGATGGAAAATGATTGCGAAGTGAAATGTCGGCGTGTCACGACGATTAACAGGTTGAGGCCGCGGTGTGCTGGATAAATTTTATCAACTTAATCACGATAACCGTGATAGTGAAATTTCGAAACGTTTTATATAACGCGCATTGTTAGGCGACACCGCGCGTAAAAATGATCTACGAGCGATAGCTCGTTCCGCTCGACGTCGAAAATCGTCGACGCGGATGCAAAAGGCCATGCCTGTCACCTTCAGGTGAATTCTTGGTGCAGGCTGTCCCTCATGCTTGTTCTTGAACCTTCGAAACGACGACAGTTTTCAATTGAATGATCGCGCTGATACTTTATTACGCGCGTACACACAGCGGCGTACAGTTCATTGCAGCGATCCCCCACGTTCAACCTATATTTCCTCTGTTCACTCGTCCATAACTCGCGAGATAACTAGTTTCGATGATAATAATTTAACTCGTAACTCGAATGGCGGAGAGACGTTCAAAGAGGAGAAACACAACAAAGCCGCGTTTGATACGACTGATCGTTGCGTGTCAAAGGAGAAAAGCGTTCGCCGAAAAGTTGTTCATCGTTCGCCGGTGATGTCGATTGCTTGCGCAAAGATCGGCGAGACAAGAGAAAGATTGGGCAAACTGGATAAAAAAAAAAAGAAAAGAAAAGAAAAGAAAGAAGAAAAAAGGAATAACTTGTACGATGTGCAAAAGTAAGATAAAAAGAAGGTTGTAATAGCAGGTTGTAGAAAAAAAAAAAAAGAAAAAAGCAGAGAACACAAACGAACACGTCTCCGGTACTCCGCGTATGCATGTACGTATAGTACGTAGGAGCGGAGCGTACCGGTCGTGCCCCTGGAAAGGTCAGCCACGAGTTACACAAAAGATGGGCACAAACGAGAAAGCACTTTCTTTCCCACATGCGATCCACGTAGACACTCGAATGTGCAGTCACGCTGGACGTGAAAAATTGGTTGGTTGGTTGGTTGGCTGGTACGTACCGACTTCGGCATGCTGCACGGAGAATTCCAACATAGTAGGCTGGAAAAATCGGTAGGATGAATCGACCTGGACTATCGTCTGTTGGCGAACGACGGCGAGGGCACGATGATCGCACGGCAAGGACACATTAGATTCACCGACGAAACAACGACCTCTGTTACGCGCTTATGTTACGCGCCGATACGCGGCAGCGTGGAAACGTTGAAACGAACGCGGATATAGTATACTTGGAGAGACACTTCTCGAGCTGTCAATCGTTCGTTTGGAAGAAGATGGCGACGCGGGCTAATCGAGCGTTAGATCCTCAACAGTCGGCGAACTTCTCGCCTCCCCTCAGCGCGTGATTTCTCGGTTAGCTTCGAATTCGATGCAGTACGTTCCTCGATGATGTATGTCTCTTCCTCGATCGGAACGGTAGAAAAACATCCGCGAGGAGAACACGCGCGCACACACACACACACACACGCGCGCGTACGCACGGTACCGACACGCACACGGGACCGAGAGTACTCTCTTCTCCCGATCGGCTTACGTGTAACGTGTGTTTGTCTGTTTGTCTGTTTGTCTGTCTGTCTGTCTGTCCGTCTTTTTCTGCACTAGCACGCGACCACGCGCGCGCGAGTATTTACGCGTGAAAAGTAACGGGCAAGGTGATCGTGGGGAGTCTTTCTCTCGTTCGTTCGCCAAAGAGAGGCTCGGGCCGACCAGAGGGAGCGAGAAGGAAAGACTTTTCACCTTCGACGGACTTGCCTGGACTGACTTGAACCGAGAACGCTCCCGTTCCTGTTCCCGTTCCCTCGCCACTGATTTTCTCCCTCTTCCTACTTGCGTCTCTCCTCCTCTACACCGTCGCTCCTCTTCTACTTCTTCTTCTTCTTCTTCTTCTTCTTTCTCCTCTGTCGTATCCGCAGATTTCCTCCTCCTTTCCTTCCCTATTTTCACGTTTCTCTCGTAAAACGCACACACGCGTGCAACGTGTTTTCCTTTCCCGAGGGAATCGATCAACGCACCTGTTGCCGCCGCAGCACCGATCGCAACCGCGTCTGTCGAACCATGCTGAATGACACCAGCTCCGAGAAGCTCGTGCGCGCCAACCTCTCACTCACGGCCTTATATATACAGCAGTATATATATCGCTCGTCGAGACGAACGCCGTGTTTTTCGATTAGATTCTTATCGCGGAATGAAATGTGCAGTAGCACAATGGGACGATACGATATATAAGTGTTTATCGTTCATCATCGTCTTCTTTTTCTTCTTTTTCCTCTTTCTTCTTCTTTCTTTTTTTTTTTTCTTTTTTTTTTTTTCCTTTCCTCTCGGT